TGTCACCACTATGGGGATCCTTGGGGAGGAATTTCGGAATCCTCGATCCGGTGATTTGTATTAGCTTTTGTAAGCATTTGATGGGGGTATGTTTAGGAAGAGATTCCCTATTCGAACCGATACGTCAGAGGCCCCCGATCCTTCTGTTTCCAAGAATTCGACAGACACCGATGTTCCTTCTTGTGTGTCCACTCAGCAGGCGGGGGGAACGAACAAACAACAATCCATTCTTATCTGTGCCACCAGCGTGGTTCGTAGGGTTTACTACTAAAGTACATACTTCATCCTATGCAACTGCAAGGAACCAAAGCAACAATTGGAAAACGAGCGACACCTCACATCTTTCACCCGTTACTTTGCCACAGAAAAATACGTGAACAGAATAGAACAAAAGCGAGTAACTATTCCTTTCACAATTCATCCAGGCATCTACCTCCAAGACTGCCTGTAACACGATCGATACACAAACACAAACACATCCACGACACAACACAACACAACACGATCCGAAATGGCGATACAATCTGTTGCTTCCAGCCTATTCTTTTCCGCCCTTCTCCTTGCCGATGCGAACGCCTTTGGCGTGCGGCACATCACGGAACGTCCCGCGACGTCTCTGAACCTTCTCCCGGACCAGGGCAGCCAGCTCGTAGCCGCCTACAACGCACTCAGCGAGTCGCAGCGCACCGAGATGGCCCGCGCACCGATTTCGGTCGAGAAGGAGGTCGAGGCCCGTGCCGTTCCGGGGAGCACCGAAGAAAGCGAAAAGCCACATCGAACCTGGGGGGCCGGCACGATATCGGCGTCCAAGAGTCTGCTTTCCCGCATCTTCCAGGGGCCCTCGGTCAAGCACCCCCTCGAGCACAAGGACGTCTGCTACTACCCGATGGTGGGCTTTCGGTTCATCAAAGGCGTGAACGCGGCCCTGCCTACCAAGTCGACGGCCTCTTGCGCCATGCCCACGAAAAGCCAGAAGGAGGAGGAGGTGTACGGGTGGTACAGCTCCTCCTGTAAACTCGATCTCTTCTCGGAAGATGTCTGCCACAATCCAATCAACTAAAGCACGGATGCTACGCACAACCGCCTCGTCCGCGGTGTGCACAGGGCAACSGCAACCGAACGACCAGGCCAACCATGAAACGCAAGAGGCCGGAGCGGGGCGCAAGCAACAAGAACCGCAATTGCCATGTACAAATTTWATGAGCGTCCCACCGAGGATCAAGTGGCAACAAGAAGTAAGACGCACCACATGCTTAAAACATCTGATACAACTACAAGCATGAGCGAACGAGGAGAACTTGTATGGATCTGTTCATCGACTTGACCGAAAATATCGAAGAATCAGAGATCGTGAAACGAAAACGGAATGCAAACCAACATGTTACAAAAGACGCACATCACGACGTCCACTCCTCAATTTTGAATGTATACTCTCCCCATGTACCATACCACAATCCAATACGATGTGCATCATGCCATTCGAACACACCCACACACGAGTAAAGACCCAATGTATGATGTAATACTAATAAAACCTCCAAACGATTATATTGTTTAATGTTACCCGCGTTACGTATTGACCGCGTCCTAGTAGCCGGCCATCACAATGTACAGATTACTCGATTTACGAAAATGCATGGGATTCGTTCAACCGACTGGAAAACATGCTGATCGGCAAAGTGAGATAGGGAAAACGTGGGGACAGGAAAAAACGTTGAACTCTAGTTTGTAATTTGGCTACCAATTTTCGGGGGGTTCTTTGTGGACCGGTGCGGCGATGGAGAGGTCTGGCGTTCGATCGTCGCCCACGAAGCAACAATTTCTTCTGGCCTTATAGGCGGCCGATGATAGTTGTTGTCGCAGCAGCTTCTGCCGCCATGCCAAATCTAACCTGCAAATGTCGTGTCGTATTACATGCATCATATGCAAACCAATCACACGTCACCGTTCCATGGTTTTTGAAAGCGATGCAATGCCGCCAATTGGGTATGAAAAGCCACGAAACCCAAACCAGGASAGAGCTCGCACAACAAATACTAGAAAGCCTAACGGTCCATTTAGTATCGCTTTACTGTGTGTMAGGATTCCRTTTAATCACATGGAATTYAATTCGGTTCAATTCAAGGCAATGCAATTGGGTGCAATTTGTTTCTTTCCACTCGTTCTGCTTCGAATCATTCCTGGGCTGCCATCCATGGTGCGAGGACGTCGAAAAAGTTTTGTTCCGGCGGTATTCGACGCTTAAGGCCAAAGCCCTCTTCCACGAGCCTTCCCAGYCTCAGAAGCGTGGCCTCGCTCCAGGCATCCCCCATAAACTGAAAGCCGATTGGAAGGCCGGTGCCCTTCTCGTACCCTACCGGGATGGATAGCCCCGGAAGACCCAGAAAGTTGGCCGTCGAAGCGAACCTCATAATGTTGTAGGTCAGAGCGACGTTGGTTTCCCCCACCTCCCGGTAGCCGGGGGGGAGCTTCGGRACGGAAACCCCVATGGTAGGAGACAAGATCGCGTCCAGCTTCTTGGTCCCAAAGAGATGCTCTCGGTAATACCGAATGGCAAAGGTCCGGACGTTCTCCGCTGCCATGACCTCCCCGGCGGTCAGCGTCCTTCCGAGACCGATGCTGATTTGCGTGTTGGGCAGGAGCTTGTGGGAGGGGTCGTAATAGGGGGTTTCCCATCCCCTTCCGAACTCGGCGAGGATTTTGACGGCGTGCGACAGGTGGATCTGTCGTTGAAAAGGGACGGTGATGTCGACAATGGTTGCGCCAAGGTCGTCTTCCAGGTACCGAACGACTTTCCGGCAGGTTTCATAGACCTCTGGATCGGTGTGCTTGAAGTGGTCCCAGAAGACGCCGAGTCTGGTTCCCTCGAGCGGCTTGCTGGAACTTTCTGCTGTGGTTTCCGACACGTAGCCCCCCAGGTGCGGATCCGGCATGTATTTTTCTCCAAAGAGGTTGCTGTAAAAGACGTCGTGATCAAAGCTTCGCTGYCCCTTTCGTTTCGTGCTTCTTCTCTGCTTGCTGGCTTTGCTCGCGTCGGAACGCCCGTACACCTGCCCGAGCAGCATGTACGCCAGAGCCGCATCGGCCATCGTCGCCCCGATGGGGCCCGCCTTCACGTTGGAGCTCCCTCGGTTTTGTGTAAAGGGAACCCGGCCAAAGGTGGGGGCCAGCCCCACCATCCCGGACATGGCCGCCGGTATCCGGATGGATCCCCCGCCGTCCCACCCGATTGCCATGGGGACGAGTCCCGCGGCAACGGCAACGGCCGACCCGCTGCTGGAGCCCCCCGAGTAATAATCTGTATCGTATGCGTTGAAGGGTCCATTGAAGTGAGCATTGTAGCCCAGGGGCGTGGYCCCGGCCTCGTTCATCACTGTCAGCCCGACAACAATGGCGCCAGCTTGCTTTAGGTACTCCGAGGGAATGTCGTCTTCTTCTTTTTCGGGGTCGGTACAGACGCTGCTTCCCTCGCACATCCGCAGGCCCTTCACGGAGGAGCAATCCTTGATGGCCACGGGGACACCGTCCCATATGGACAGCGGAGCTCCGGCCTTCCATCGCCTGTCGGATTCCCGGGCCTGCTCCAGAATCAGGTCGGGTTCCATCGCGGAAAAGATGTTGAGGTGTCCCAGGTGTTTTGTGGCGCCATTGATCCAGCGCTCCATGACTTGGGTGGGGGTGGCATTCCCAGAGGAATAGACCTTGTAGTAGTCGACGACCGTGCGAAATCCCCCGGAACCTTGTCCTTCTTTGGTATTTTGTTCCGTTCGTTGCTGGACAAACTTGGATTCGTACAGTTTCAGTCCGTTCTCGTCGCCATTGGGGCGACTGCTGTAGACGGCGTTCCACTCGGTCGAAGCCTCCATTTGTTCGTCGGACGCGTGGTGGAACGGGTGGTGGGTAACGGGAAGCGATCGGACGTAATCCTTGGTGGAGGAAAGCTTTCGGATCAATCCCACTCCGTTCTTGTTGATATTGCGCCGCAGCAGAAACGGCGACACGAGGGACCTCGTGACGAGCCAGGTTAGAATCTTCAAAAACGTCCCTGTCCCCGAGGGCGTGTTTTTGAGTTCGACCAGGTTGTAGGGAAACTCAAAGTCGATGTCGATGTCGATGTCGATGTCGTCGTCGTCGTCGTCCCCGTCGCCACCCAGGATAATGGACCTCAGAGCCCGATCGAATTCGGGCGATGCCTCTAGGTCGGAATATTCCGGAGGCGTTTCTTTCATGGATAGCAAGACTTGCACCAGAATTGACAGGGCCAACCCCAGGAACCCCCACCACCGAAGTGACGATGAGGCCTTGGTTCCCGCACCGGTAGTGACTGCTGTCGATGCATTCGTCATAGGTTTGCCTTTTAGTAATGTTTACCTAAGGCTTTTGCACGTTGTTGTAAGGATTCTAATGATGATTGCGTCGACAGTCGAAAGGGGTGACAGAGACTCAAAGTTTATGAGAAGTACTCGTACTCAACTCGTTCAACTAAAATGGTTAGTAGAGCTACGAAGTACGATACACGGTACAGTACTGTGTACTAGAGTTTGGTGCACGATACGTACGTACTCTTCATACGGTACCGAAAGACTGTCTCTACGGCATCAGAAATCAGAAATGGACTCCGATGAAAATCTAACGGTTCCCTGTTCGATCGCATTGCAAGAAATGTGACTACGGTTCGTTCTCGTCCGAGATATCTCAACGTAMKGTATGTACAGGACTCTAGTATGATTCGTAAAATGACCTTCGCCTATGCGCGTTAGATTTTTGTGAATCTTTCACCTCAGTAGGGTTCTTACGGTACTGTACCTTACTGGGACGTAATCTCAGTCTGTAGTTTTATTCCAACAAGAAGCTTACAATCATAACTGAAGCACAAGAAAGACAACGTACAGTACTTTGTAGGAACAAAACAAAACATAACTCGACAGAAATAAATCATAACCATGACCGTGACCGCCGGACAAATCCTCACCGCAGAAACAGTCCCTGCGTATCTCAAAGACCAGTGGGAAGACCTGGGCATCGGCAAGGCTCTAGACTGCACGACCACCGCCGAAGAGGCACTAGAGGGAATCGTTGTGAACGCCATTCAGGGGGGAAACGTCAACTACGCCTTTTGCATCGAGCTTCCCGCGCTTGCCAAAAAGGTCTTTCTCAAGCAGGCTCCGGAATTTGTCGCCATTTTCGGACCGGACGGTTTCCCCCTGACCTCGGAGCGCATGCAGCGTGAAATGGATGTCTATTCGGAATGGAAGGGGCTCCTTGGGGACGACCTCGGCAAGAAATACCTGCCGGAAATTTATGCCTTTGACAGTGAGTTTTTGGTGAAAAAAAGAGTTTGAAGACGTATAGATGAATGGCTCGTAATTTGGCATCTCGCGGTAGGAATACAGGATGAGGATGTGTTAGTCTAGTTGACTTCAACGTCGAAATGGATTGTTCGGTCAGAACTAGCACACTCGGCGGCAATAGGGGACTGAACAGATTTTTGGTCATGCGATATCACTTTTTCTCGRAAAAYATGGCTGAAGGTTGCATGGATTYGACACGACAGGACGCGATAATTATTCACCCCTCTATTCCATCCATCACTCCGATCTCCAAATAGGGGRGCGACGATTCTGTTTCCTTTTTCTGATTTGCCATGTGTTCAGTGCAGTTCATTTCTTGGTTGTCGCTCACTGATCGYGTTGTTTGTTCGTTCACGTGTTTCTTCCTGGTRTTATGAAAAAACTCGACAACAACATCTTTTATTTTYATGCAACAACACCCAATGACAAAACGCGTATTCGACAAAATTGACCAAAATCGACACAACCACACCAGAAAAATCCATGGTGGTAGTTATGGAATTCTTTGACGGATAYGAACTTCTCGACCACGTCCTGGTCGACGAAAAGGGGGCCTCCGCCCTGGACCAAAAGGGCATCGGGGAGGCCCTCGGCGATTTCATGGGACGTGTCCACGCGGCCTCGTACTCGTCCAAGTACCTGGCCGCCGACGAGGGGCAGGCACGCGTCGACTATCTCAAGGAGCATTTTGAGAACCGCGAGATGCGGGACGTCCAACTAGAGTTCGTCTTTAGCAAGTGTTACAAGGAGGCGACGGACGAGCAACGGGCCGGATTGACGCTCTCGGACGAATTCTTGGCGGAGGTCGAACTCCTCAAGAAACAATACGACGGCAAGGCCGGGGACGACGCCTTGGTCTTGACCCACGGGGATCTGCACCCCGGTTCGGTCATGGTCGACCCCTCAAACACAAGTGTCAAGGTGATCGATCCCGAATTCACCGTGTACGGTCCGGCGGGTTTGGACGTCGGATCCCTCCTCAGCGGATACTGCCTGGGGGCGATCCACCAGGAATACTCTAGGAATCCCGCCGTCGTCGAGGACATTGTAGCGGGTGCCGAGGCCATCTGGGCTTCCTATAGCCAAGCCCTCGCCGATGGTGGGCTCACGAGCGAGCAGATTCGGGCGATCGAGGTCGAGACGGTCGGATTCACCGTCGCCGAGGTCTGCCGGACTGCCCTCGAATTCGCGGGTGGCCGAAAGTGGCTCCAGTTTCCCGACGACGAGGACACGAAAAAGAAGGCATGCAAGGCGGCACTTGGCTTGGTCCAGAAGTGCATGGTAGGCCGTCACGAAGGGGGGATGACCCTTTTGTTCACCGAAATGAAGCGCAAGCATTTCGATCAATAATAGCAACAATAATACAAAACCCAAACCCAAACCAAAAACAACAATAGAACAATACGCAGCACAGCACAGCACAAAACAAAACAAAGAACCCAACATGAAAGACACAAATGCAAAGGAACATAGGAAAAGAATCGATGTAGGTCATAACTTTGAAAGTCACTGCGTGAGATATTGCCATAGTGTCAAAACCTATATATGCCGTTGATCATGACTTAGTTCTTTCTCCTGTCACAAAATGTCGCATGCAGTTTCGAAATTGAACCGCGCAAAGATAATGTAGCTGTTCTTTGTATGCTGTTTCTGCTCCAACCGAATCCAAAGGCCGTACTAGATTAAGAAATCATTCAAGCAATATCATGTATGTATCATTCGTAGTGGAACTATTGCGAGCAAAATCCAAGTGCCAGCTATATCCTAGTTCTGRCAATGTTGTTTCGTTGAAACACAAAGTACTTCGATCCCGTGGGTCACAAACGAACAATATTCTAAATGCCTATGGGAACTATTGGAAGCTAGAGAAATATAATCTGTGCCACTTCGGCGCAATTTGTTTTTGATCTATTCATTTTATTAGTGAAGCAATCAATGTAAACTACTACCAATAGTAGATGTTGATAATCGCATCACACTTCATGTTCGATGCATTCGTTTCGGTCGCAGCCCTTTTTGGCGTTGCAGGGCTCCTTCGTCTTGATTGTTATATTGGTATTTGAAACGTCTCGGGGCTACCGACTGGAGTTTGTATTGTCACAGCTGCCGTTACAGAAACCATTTAGGAGATTTCCCAAGTACTGATCGATGTTACCGGCAGAAGAATTTTGGACGAAGACGGACGAGGAGTACATGGACGAAGAAGTTGACGAGTAGGCAGCGACTGCCTTCTGCGATGAACTCTTCCAACTTTTTATCGAATCTTTAGACGCCGTATAGCTGCCGCCACTGCAGCCGGCATTCGTGGCTATCGCTGTTCGCTTAGTTGCGTGCTTGATTATCCTCGGGATCATCGTCTTGGAGGAAGGGGAACCTGTTGCTGTCTGTAAGATTGTCATTGTTTCTTTTGATCGCCAAGAAGAACAGTTTTGTGCGGCTGTGGGAAGTTGTACTCATTCCATGGAATAATGCCGAGTTCTCATAGTGGTGTCAAATTGTTGGGACGATGTGTTTTACGTTGGCGTCAAATCTGCTCAAATTTAAATATGGGGACAAAAATTTACATAGTAGGGGTCGTGTATTTTCACAGGATCGCCAATTTGAAGTTTTAGTTGGTACGGGCGATGACCGGTAGAGAACACTATTCCTTGTGAATTCTGACACCAGTTGTGACACAAAAACATATTGCGTTCGATGCATATACGGCGAAAAATCACGTGGCGAGATCTGGCCTTCAGTGATCATAAAAAAACTGTTAAAAAGATGTCAGCAGAAATGGCAGAACTACTACACTTGTAATACTACTACCACTACTTTTAGTAGTGCAAGTACTAGTAGTGCTTCTACTAAATTAAGAATATTAGGTATTACCTGGTCGCACTTGTGGTGGTGCTGAACAAGAAGCAAGAGCACCAACAACAAGAAGAAGCAAGAAGAAGAAGAAGAGCAACAATGCAACAAGAACAAGAACACCAAGAAAAGAAAGAACAAGAACAACAACAAGAATAAAACAGCAAGCATGATACTACTAGTACTAGTAGTAGTAGCAAGAACATTAGTACTACTAGTAGTAGTAGTACTAGTACTACCACCACCACCAGCACACACCATGAGCAGCACCAGCAGCACCACCACCACTAACAACAGCATCCATGTCATTGGAATCTCAACTAGTAGATGAAGTTTTGCCAAAAGAAGTGATGCCAGCACCAACAGGATGGATCACTACTAGTACTAGTAGTACTGGTAGTGCTACTACTAGTAGGTGGGGCTCATGTTGTTAGTTGGGTGTCTCTTCTACAGGTACAAGTTAGTACATACCAGTACGCAGGGGTCATAAATTTAGAGGGGTATGCAAGAACGCGTCGAAACTCATATTCCATGTGCGGTCCAAATTTCCAAAAAGTCCCCGAAGGATTTTTTTTCATTCTCATTTTTACTGCATAATACTAGTAAAACTATCCAACCTTTAAGCAGTTACAGCTTTATCAAAAATACTACTATTTTAATTTTTGAGTAGCCAGTCTAGTCTAGTTTTTAATGCTGATTCTGAATATACCATTTTCTCGCATAGTATTAAATTGATATTTGTAGTACTATTTTGCTATTACTAGAAAATGAACATAATTTCCATCATACTAGTAGTAGTAGTGGTACTACTACTACTAGCTAGTACTTCTACTAGTATGATCAGTTTCACCTTAGTACCAGTTGTAACAGTAGTAATAATAGTTGTAGTAACAGTATTAGCAACAGTAGACGGTAGTAGTAACTGTACCTTAGGGGACTTTTTGGAAATTTGGACTGCATGTGGAATATGAGTTTCACTTTTTTTTTGGTGCTTCATGATGCGCAAAAAAAATTCGATGCGCACCCCTCTATTATGACCCCTGCCGGTACGTACGTACCGTAGAATCATCAACGTTGGTCCAAATTTTGTCAGTTGTTCGATCGACAGACTGAAATAGCATTTTGATGACGCAGCATCTGACGTATTTGTCGTCAGAATTCACGCAAGAATTGTACCGCGCGTTACGACCTTTCGTAGTTTGACATCACGCACATCAGCTGCCCACGATCTATGTCACTGTTGTCCGCTGATCTACCCATACGAGTACGCGTAGCGTCGGACTTACAGWACTGAATTCATCTGTTTTACCTGCATGATGCGTGATGTAAAGTGCTGTTTCTGCTACGTAAGATGTGGTACGGAATCAATCAATCGTACGAGAGCAAGGGGACTGCGGCAGTATCACTGTACCTGAAGGTAGTTTTTTCTGTTCCGCCCCGTCTATCTCCTGTATCGCTACCGTAGTAAAGCAAACTACCGCACTTACACCAACGCTAAAGGTAGGTTCAGCAGCTTGCGTTTTGTTCTTCCGTGTTGACATAAAAAGTTGCAATTGTTCGTGGTGACCCTGTTGGAATAATCATGTATTGAGTTTCGAAAAGCATAGAGAAAGATATACAAACTCAACATACTACAACTACCGGAATAAAGCAGAAAGATGGGATTCAAAAGGATAGGTAGAGGAAACAATCTTTCGGGGATTTTTCATCTATCGGTTGCGACAGTGGTGGTTGCTATCCTTCGAAGCAATTCGAATGGTACACCCTCAGTTTTTTGCAGCGCGTGGGTTTCGACATCGTCGTCCAGTACCAACGGTGGAACGTGCTCCTCTTCTACATTTTCTGCTTTGAACAATGGTGCCACCGCTCGATCGCCAAGCGGTCGAATATCCGACAAAATAGGTGATAGAAGATACTGGATGATATTGAACGCCGTGGTGGACGACAGCAGACAGGGAGGAAACGACACTTTGTCGACCTCTACAACCACAAAATCTCAAGGGGGTAGGAAGTCATCAACGATATCAACATCGAAAATAAAGAAAACCAATCGGATATATATCAACGTAGATCGTTGGAATTCCATGTTTGAACGATTAAAAGAATACAAGAAGACATACGGCAACACGAACGTCCCAAAGAAGTACAACGATGGCGGGACTCCCGCCCTCGGAAATTGGGTCAGCAAACAGCGCTTTGAAGCATTGGTTTATCAAAATACAAAGGGAGAGGAGGGACAAATCACTCCGGAACGAATCTCGAAGCTGGAATCGATTGGATTTGTATGGGAACTTGGAAGACAAGATGAATGGGAAGAAAAGTGGCTAAGCATGTTTTCAGAACTGGAGGAGTTTCAGAAAAAATACTGGAGCACAAAAGTCCCTATACTCAACAACAAGGAATTGAATTTTAAAAGCGGCAGCGGCCTAGAGGACCCGATGTCCAGCCTCGGTCGGTGGGTCAAGACGCAACGGATACAACGGAACAAGTTGTTGAGAAATGAAGCAGCACCTGCCATGACGAAGGAACGCCTGGAAATGCTTGAGTCAATCGATTTTGCCTGGAGTGGAAAGCAAGCTTCAGATTACGATAAGTGGCTGAATATGTATTTCAAGCTTATGTTTTATTACCAGCGGCACGGCACGACGGTCGTTAGCGATTCGCAGGGCAGCAGTCGCTTGCTTAAGTGGACGGAAGAGCAACGGCGCTTTTACCGAGACCTTATGACCACTAATAGTACAATGAGTGCTTCTAAGACTGGTGCTGCGGCTACCATCTTGAACACGCTTACGGAGCATAGAATCAATTTGCTGAACGATATTAATTTTGATTGGTCTCATTGCCACGAAGATAGGACCTGGGACGATATGTTCAACGAGCTCGTGGAATACTACGTAAATTTCAATTCCACATTGATTTCAACAAGTATCAATGAACGCCTTGGCAAATGGACCATCCTGCAGCGCGATAAATATAACGCGGGCTCAAAAGATTTGGATCGCCAAAAAATTACAAAACTGAACACAATCAATTTCGATTGGAACGCAACCGAAGACGTTAACTGGAACGCTATGATGTACCGGTTAGAGGCATATAAACGCAAATATGATACCACCATTGTTCCAAACCATGACGGTGGAGACAGACCTCTGGCGAACTGGGTCAATAATCAGCGCGTCAAGCTGGGAAAATATGTCATCAACGAAGACGGTGAATTCTACGACGACCACGATTTGGTTGAACGCATCGCCCTCGACCTGGGATGCTCTCCCGAAACGGAGTTTGAACCAAAAGGATTCATTCAAAAGTTGTCGCCCTCTACAAAGGCCACGCGAATACGACGGCTGAATGAGGTTGGCTTTGTATGGGACGCCCGAGAAGCCTCGTGGCAAGACATGTACCAACGTCTGTTGGTGTATAAAGAACAAAACAACGGTTCGACAATGGTCCCTTTTGTACCCCAAGATCACAGAAGCAATAATAAAAGCAGCGGTTCAACGGAACAACAATCCGAGTCGCTGGGCGTTTGGGTTAAGGTCCAACGCCACAAGAAGCAACTGGGGGAAATGTCCGAAAAGCGCCTGGTGCTGCTGAACGAAATTGAATTTGTTTGGGACCCCCAAGAAGCCCAGTGGGCCGAAATGTTTGATCGCCTTTGCAAATACCAGAAAGAGAACAATGGCTGTACAAGGGTGCCTCGCGCATATTCTCCCGATCCCGAACTCGGGGCATGGTTGAACACCAATCGGCGGGCCTACAAGCGAAAGACGCTTCCACAAGAACGAATCGATCGGTTGGATTCAATTGGATTTGTATGGGAAATACAATGATCAGTAACGGAGAGGATATATCTATCGATCTATAAGCCTCCTGATATTCCCAACAGATATAGTATAGGACACGACATGGAATATCCACAATAGACATAATATTACTTACTAAAAAACCTTTTTTCACTGAGATACTTCTGAAAGGATTAGTATCAATCGTTGTTTTTATTAGACCAAGTATTTTCAACTCTGCTTATCATACAAAACCCTTCTGAGATCATCAGTAAGTTTCGGAAGACTGTTTCTCACTAGCCCACAATTTTTGCTTCCAGTGCAAGTACTACTACTCGCGGTCCATGCTCTAGGAAAATTTGCAATCCTTTCCAGAAATTTATTCTTCACAAAGGATTACCTTGTTTCATCCATATGATGTGCAATTTCAATGTTACTACTTTTAATTTTGTTACCATCACTCGTACTCCCTTGTTTTCTACGTGGTTCACGACGAAGAGTGAGCTCTTCTTCACCATCTGCTCGTGATTTGCTGTCACACGGTTTAGGTGAGGGCAGGAATTAGAAATTACGTGTCGAGAAACTGATGGATGTATTTTTCATTTTTTCACCACCCGAAGGAATTTAAATAACCCTTAAATACCAGTAGTTTAAGTCCAAAAAATGGCTCTGAGTCGCGGTGGAGTTCTTATTGGGAAAAGGACCTTTATCAKAAGCGAATAGGGTGACATTTCAACTATTACTGTAATTGCCCTCAACTTTACGGGATTGCGTCTTGTCTCAATGAGAGCGAAAATTAAAGGCTGTCATAGCAGATGCCATTTTTCGAGAAATAATCTCAAGTACAGGAAATTTGTTAAATGAATTAGTAGGAAAAAGGCCCATGGGATTTTTTCAGCTTCAATGTGATCTTAAGTCGTTCATGAATCGTCGCTCGCAAACAAACATCCGTTCAATGCATTCACGGAAAACAAAAACGACGACCGAGGCAAATTTTTGGGTCAACTGACCAAAACCATATCCCAGGAAGACACAGCAAAGATAAGAACCTATGGCGAAGAGGAACAATATGCATAACACTAGCCATGCCAATATCAATACAGTGCGATTTTCACTAGCCCATGTTCCAGAGCATCACCAAGATCTTTGCATGGGGACGAAGAGGAGTGCATGGAATTCGGACGAGGATTATCATTCGTCCAAAAATCGCGATCGGGTTGCTCTCCCACCCAGAAGGCCATCAAGGATTCGAAAGAACCCGAACGGTCTTAACGAAGAAGTATTTGTCAGTAGTGGTATAGACGGGCAACGCATGCTTCCTTACCGCGAGGCCAGGCAGCTTAGCAAACCCTCCACCGAGCGTAAATCAATATTGAAAAAAAGCAAATTCAGCCATCGTGATTCTACTATCTCAAAGATTCCATCGACCTCAAAATGCCCCGAATCTCCAAATTGTTCGATCGCTTCTGACGACAGCAGCTCCGCCTTTGATCGCGGGGCGACATCTCTCTGTTCCTCACTCCTTAGAAATCACCGGGATTCCGTCCTCGATCTGCATCGATTGGCTAGGCATCGCAGTGGGGTGAACTGTCCGCGCAAACCATCGATTGCCGACGAATCAATAACGGATTCCTCCATTCTGRACGACGAAAGCGATGACGATCGATCAATGTCGACCCTCGGTCAATCAAATCATACTTTCGGCAGCAATCCACCCCTCACGGACTTRCTGCTCGAAATGTAAGACGACAGCAGCTCCATGCAACTTCGGAGTGTTATCAGCTTGGTGGTAAAAGTTCCAGACATCCCAGGTGAAAATCACAAAGCGAGATGCTACATCTATAATCCACATGTTTATTCTATATATATATGTTTGTCGACAATGGTGCTCGATATCTTTGAGAAGCTATCGGAATAAAAGTCTTTGCATCAATTTTGATATAAGTTCGTAACTATTCAAACTATACAGCTTTAAAAGAAATGTATTGACGAGTCAATCGGGTCCTCGTCTAAACGCTTCCTGTACATACCTGTCCAACTGTTGGTCTTTGGATTGTCAACATCTTATATTTTTGCAATACATTCACGTTATTGGGCGATTCTTTCGCGTCGTTCCATTTCCATCACCATAGATCTATTGACGCCAGCACAAAATTTCCAATCTGTTGAATGCTTTTCCCTTCTGTTTGGATCACTTGATTGGGAATCTCTTCGTTCGTCCATCTGGAGGAATAGGAACATGACGTAATCTTAGTGATTGAGCTCGAGTGGTACGTACGGCACGGTACGGTAGGATTACTTTTTGATACGGAAGGAACAAAGAAAAAAGTAACATGTCAAATAATTTATAATTTGGCGTTTTGGTTGGGTCTTCTTCAACTGACGTGGTTAGAAACGTTTGTTCCCAAACCCGCTGCAGGGGAAACCATCGTTAGGTCGTGATTGAGATTCAGATTAAATGTGTTCTGGTTTACTATCGGATGAGGGTTTTCCATTTATGAATTGTCTAGTCATAGGTCGTAAAAAATAGTTTTAAATTGCCAGCTTGTAATGAACACCAATGCTTCAGAATTGCTTCACCCTTTCAATAGTAGTYGTAGCAGTAGCATTATGCCGTTCTCCCTCCGTATCCCCAAGACCACATTTCCATCTCCTTTCTCTTCGTCAACTGTTTGCACCGTACGTTAGTACAGAACGAAGTATCGTATCGTAACAAGGAGCGTACCGCAAGCAGTACGGACCGTGGCTCAGGGGTCATAAAGTCATATTTGTGAGACAGAGACACTAAAACCACAATCACGAGTAGCTAGTGAGTGAATAACCTCACTCTTTATTGTAAACACGTATTCATACGACACTAAGGAGCCTACCACTATTTCATAGGTTATGAGCAACAACAACAACCTCTGCTCGCATAACCATCATCAGCATCATCAACAACACTACATACCGAGTAATTGACCCTGATCGATCAATATCCTTGACACACAGCGACAGCTTTATCATCGAGGAGTATTCCGTCGGAAAAATCTTTTCGATGCAACCCGGATGAAGCGAACCCATCAGTACCACATCACGTAGCCTGCTACAGCACAATTCTTCTTCATTCAACGACCGAAGTACCGACACTTTTTCCTTGATACCACGGACCCTGCCACAGCACAACTCTAGCCCATAGATACCACAATCAATACACAACAACACGACCATGGCAACTTCCAATTACCACAAGATAGCTCTACAGGTACAACAGTTACTACCATGAATGTATTCCGCGAATCTATCTGTCCCCCGATTTATAATTAATAAAAAAGGGGGAGATGTTCGCTATTGCCGCATTTATTCGATTTAGTCAGACGTGATCACTCGAAAGTTTGGTTCTCCTCTTTCTTGTTATACGAAACTAGAAGGTACAGTACAGTACGTACGTACCTTGTACGTACCAGTTAATTTCCAACGTCTAGTTTGTCGAATTATTAGATACTATTAGTACGTAAAATTCACAGGCTACTCGTACCGGTACATGTACGGAGAAACGACACAGCATCACTTAGTCTGTCGGAGATGTTCATTCTTGTTTCGGTACTTGGTACCGTATGTGTCATGTCATTCAATTTAACGCRTGCATCTTACCATCCGGGAAAAAAACCTTCTTCGACCAACGCTCGAAGGCAAAGAGCCGGCACAGTACCCGTACTCCCTCGAATATCGAGGTACGGTCCATCGGCAACTCAGGGCAGAGGGAGAGGAGACTTTAAGACAACACAAGAGAGAATASAGCAGGAGTACTGTATTGACTTACGCCAAGATGACAAAAGCCAAGTCAATCAGAGCGATGTTGACATCATCAAGGAGAAGCCCTCCTAGAAACGCTCCCAGCAGCGGCGGCAGCAGCCAACAAACGCAAACGTCTGTTACACTCCCGAGGACCCTGGTGTCCTCGGCAAATGGAAGCTCTACGAGCACAGCGAGAAACGATGAGCGTCAAGGCCGGGAAGCCGATTCACATACCGGCGAGGCGGAGTCCAATTTTGACGTCAGTATTGGTAGCTACTCGCATTATCAAGAAATGGAAATCAAGGTACCCGGTCCCTTTGTTGTGCTACAGGGCAACGCCGGAGACGGGCTCTCGAACACCGTTGACGGGCCGCTTCCAGTCCTTGCTCGGACGAGGCGCACCCGGCAACGAGTACAAGCKGCAGCTGCAGCAGCAACGGCGACGCAGACACAATCCCCAGAGGAGGAGGAAGAATTTCAGCACGTGTCTACCAATGCCGCGGCGGGAATTGTGAATGGGCCTCGCTTTGCGGTGACGGTGGGAGCGGTTGCGGCGGCGGCAGCTGTGGATGCCGGGGTCCAATCTTCGGCTTCTTCGGACGAATACGTAGTTGTGGTTGACGATGCAAACACCAACGGTACACCAACAAATCACTTGGAAGAAGAGCAGCAGGAGCAACAACAGCATGAAGATCAAGTAGCCATCGCGAACTGGGAGAGTTCTCGGCGCCAATCCGAATTGCAGCAAAAGCGGGACTGGGAAGATTCTCTATACCAGGTGCCTCCTGCAATAATTGCCGAACACGTTATGATGAACCAGTCTCCAGTCACTCATGTCAGCAATGATCCGGAGAGCAGGAGCTGGTGGCAGCGGAATGGAGAGGTTGCTGTGTTGAGAGAACWCCCTACGAAGTTGTTCGACGGTTCGGTGACCGTCAGCCGAATCGGCACGCTCCCCCCGGGGTCGACCGTGATGGCAATGGATTTGATCGAACTGAATTCGGGAACCCTGCTCCCAATCGAAGGACTGAAACCTACACGGCAGGGAATCCAGGACCACAACGGTGCATCCTCCAGCTCCTCTTTAACTTCCCCCACATCCCATCGAGAGCGCACTTTTTCGCAGGGACGCATCGGGATCATCCAAATGATCAAACTCGAAACCAAGGAAGGGCGAACTGGCTATACGTGTCTGAGTCTAGACGGCTACCCATTGCTTGGACCGGGGCTTCCTAATGCCTATGTCGACCCCGCGAGCAGCACCAGGGACCGGGACCAACACACTCCGGGGGGGCCGAGCCGCGCGAGCGAGAGCTGGATCTGGAGGGTGACCTGCCCATCCGGCGCCTTTGTGCGAGAGGGACTCGACCTTCACACACGCCACATAGAGACACTGCCCTATGGGAGCTTGGTTCGCGTCACACGCCGGTGCATCAACAACCAGGGCCTGAGTCGGTTGAGGACGTCGGGATATCTGTCGCTGAAAACCCATGAAGGGAATTCACGAGTGCTAGTGACAGGATGGTGTTCGGAGCTCTTGAATCCGTTGTCGGGACAACGAGGGATCGTCGCACAACCCCTTCCATTTCCGGTCCCGGCGATCTATCGAGTAACGCTGCCGATGGGGTAAGTCTGCCGTTTTTGGCACAAAAAGTGCAGTCGAAGGAGTCTTCTTCGAGCAAAACAGCTGYTGCGACCGACTTGCTACGAATTCTATAAGTGTATCCCGAACCAACTAACAGTTTCTTTGTAATACGGAATCCGCTTCCTATTGTTTTTAATGAAAACAAAGCGCTGTGGTTCGCAGAGACATCGAATTGATGAGTCCCCAAATCGAAATTCTTCCATTTGGAAGCACTATCAAAGTTGTAGCGAGGGCCTTTTCGGAACATCCTGTCGAGAGGTGCATCGAACGACTCCAATTGGCAGGAGGTGGCGGCTGGATATCGGTGCGTTTGAACCTACCTCCCCCACAGGACGATTTGGTGGTCGAACTCGTTGATATCGATAGCGACTTCGATCCGGAAAATCCCGGGTTGTACCATTTGAATGCCCAGAGAGCGGTTCGAGCCGAACGCGAACGAGAGCGAGCAGAACACAACCCTTCGGATTTGTCTTCAGTGGACGAGAACGAAATCTCGGACGACAGTGCGAACCACGAAGAAGAAAATTGCAACATTGATGGTACCCAGCAACACTCTGCCAAGTGCGTGGTTTGTCTGACCTCGGAACGAAACGCTACCATCGTCCACGGGGAAACTGGCCACGTCGTATGCTGTCTTGTTTGTGCGCGAATACTGAAGGCCCGCGGTGATAAATGTCCGGTTTGTCGACTGGACATCGATCTTGTCATTCAACACTTTTACGCGTGACGCAACGCAGCACCAATGCACCACCATATTATGAACAATACGGAAGGAGGCAATCATGTTATAATTTGTACAATAAAATATGGTGCACGTAGAGCGCGTTGTTTGGTTTCTTACACTACTTTTCACTACGTGAGAACGGGTTGCTTGACCTTTTTGGGCGTCACAATGTTTCCGTTTGTGTATCTTCGAACAGCGGGTTCTCGTTCGATCCAGCCGAGTCGGCGTGCAACGTACATGCCGAGGCACACTGATTCTGCCACATCGGTTGGAAATTTTCCCACGTGCTGGTCCATGGTTCCAAAATCGGCCACGACCTGGCGGGCAATCAACCGAGATGCTTCCTTGGCTGTGCCTCCGTTTTGACTCTCCTTTTTGCTCAGGAGCTCGGATCGCCATTCTTCGGGAGAAACTCTCAGGATAGAATGATACGGGGCGGCTTGTGCCCAGGTGTCAAGGAGAGCGGTATCACCGCCTTCGATGGCGATGTGGGTGATTTTCGACGAAGATGAAGATTCTTGATCATCTCCGCTACCCCCAGCTTCTTTTTCCCATTGGTATATGATATCTTCGAAGTCCTCTTGGAGATTTTCCCGATCAAACAAAAACTGTTCGTATCGAAGGAGATTCCCGCGGTCATCGAACAAACTAACCCCAGACTTCAAACCGAGATCTACTGCCATGAGAAGTTGGTTGTATCCTAGACTATTTTCCGTAGCCTTCGTTGTGTCGTCATTTTTAGTAGCATCAGCAGCTGCTGGTGGATGCCGAAAGAAGGCAGCATTCGCTTCGGAAGCAATGCTGCGATTAATGTTTTTCTCGTCCATTTGTAAAATCTTGACCTCCGAATCTTCTTTGTTGATTTGCACCACAATAGGACCGTGTTCAAGGTGTGTCGCACAGCCCATGTTGGCATTGGAGGCGTTAATGACCGTCGTTTCTCGAGCATACTTCGCGTTCTTCGCGAACGTACGCTTTGCAACCCCACGACCYTCGTGAATGTGACCGACAAGCCAAAGTTTTGGAGGTCCGAGGGCCATGCCACGGATGAAATTGTTTAAAAAGCTGCTGCCGACATGCTTCCCCGAATAGGTCCGATCAAGGACCTTGAAGGGGGGCACATGAGAGGCCACTAGATCGCAGGTCGGAGGGAGGCCTTTCGTGGCACTAAGCTTACGGGCGTTGCAATGTGGGACCAAAGCACACTCGAAGCCTCCAACGCTGATGCTGGTGGGATTTGTTACGTATAGGGCTTTCGAGGTCGGAAAGTGAACCTTGAAGGGATCGTGGTTTCCCCGAATCACAATCTTGTAGTCGTGGGGTTGCTTTGCGAGCCACTTGTCAAAGGCTGCGAGCCCACGGCTTTCTTTTTCAGTGGAACCCTCCAACGCGAAATCTCCCAGATGGAGCAAAACGTCCCCCTTCGGCAGATCATCACCCAGTTGTCCCTCGAATCCATGGGTGTCGCTCACGACGACAATGTCCAAGGTTTGTAGGTCCTTGTCCACCTTGAACTGCAAACGCTCTTTGGTAGACATTTCTGGGGACAAAGGAACAGTGACATCTGGTGGAAGATTGTAGGTGCTCTCGTTCTCACTTCTATTCGAGGAGGCTTCTGGTTGTTCCACAGGGCCACTAGTCATCAAGGCTAAGCGTTGCTCCTTCGTAAGTTTTGGCGCCGGTGAGGACAAGAGTGCATTCTGTTTCGCTAAAACGGCATCCTCTAGGTTTATAATGGTTGCTCGTGCCGTGCTTCTAGTTTGCTGCTTCGTGGTTGCAAAGAGTTCTCCGTCGTTGACGTGTTGGACAAAGAGCCTAGCGGAGGAGAGAGATTTTTTCGCTTCGCTTTCCGATTCGTTTGAGCCGATCTCTATCATGTCTGTGGTGACTTGTTCGTCAGCTTCCAGTTCTCGTCGCAAGCGCTCAGCATATATAACGCGATCGCCCGTTTGCTCCTTTCGTGGTGGTCGGTACTGTAATTCCCTCCATTTCTCCAGTAGCAGATCTTGCTGCTCCCGAAGGAGGCGATTTGCATCCTGTTCGTCGCTCTCCTCGGATCCCACTTCTTCTGACGCRGCTCTCGTCAACTGGTCCAGAAGGGAGGGTCCACGCAAGGCCAGTTTCCGCTTTAAACTCTTGACCCTGGCTTCAAGCTTCTTCCGTCGCTTGTTGGTGATGTTTTTGCCCTTCCTCTTTCGGTCTCCAAGTTGAACCTCGGCATCGATGAGTTGCCCCCTAAGTTTTATTTCGGTATCCAATCGACTGAGTTTGAATTCTTCTTCTAAGGACAGAGCTTCCGAAGTTGCTGTCGATACAGATGACTCTTCGTCGTTGCTGTCACTTTCTTGCTGCTGCTCTCGTTCGCGTTTTCGCTCCCTAACCTCGTTGGCCACCCATTCCAAGTCGTCCAAAAAAGTTTGCGGATTGACAAGATGGTACTCATTCTTGGCAGCCCTGCGGCACCGACTCATCAATTCGTTGTCTGCCGTGACCACAATTGTTTTGCCAACACCCCCCGCCCGCCGCTGTTTCCCCCTGGGACTACTGGTGCCACTGCTATCGGCACTTTCGTCGGCGTCCTGCCAGCCGAAAAACGGAAAACAGGGTGCCCCAACGCCCTTGGCAATGACATCGTCAGCCTTGCAGTTGTTGCCAGAAAAGACAACCGCTAAATTCTGGTCTTCCTTGAAAAAGGCAGTCGGTTTCGATCCCCCATGGTCGACCACCACAATCACCCTGTTCTCAAGCCCAAAATGCTTTGTCCAAAGTTCTGTCTTGTCCAGGACTTCCTTGTGGGAGAGTGCGAATCCCGACTTGCCGCGAACGTTTTCCATATCAATCCAAACGGCGGATGTGGATTCAAATATGCTCGGCAATTGATCATCGGAATCTTGCTTTTGTTTTTGGTCGACGAATTGATGCAAGATCATGTGGTGGGTGTTCTTCAGGTAATTGCTGTTTGTCGTCCTGCGGTTCTTGTTTGCCGCCAACAGTGTGGACAAGAGGGGCAGGAGAATTGCGGGGGAGAAGAACATGGTGCACTGTGATCCAACGCGTGCTGTGCGGTACGATCGGATTTGRATTTGGAATTAAATTTGATTTTTCCCACACAACATTGACTTGCTTTTTCAAAAAAGTTCTTTCACCAGATGAGAATGACATAAATATGAAAAGAACTAGCAAACCAATCGTTTGGGCGAGTAGAAACTTTATTTGACGAAAACGCCGAACGTTGAACCAGATAATGATATTGCGGTGACCGACAAATGCGCCACAATACAGTAATGGTTGGTTTTCGCGTTTTGTTCAGAAGATTCTAATGGATGATGGGTGATGGGTGATGGGTGATGGGTGATGGGTGATGAGAGGTGATCAACAGAAAGAGCCGGCAACACTGTTTCCAACTGCACGGGAAAAAAGGAAATTCTCGTTCTCCGTTTCTTACGTTTTTCGTGTCGATAGTCGATGCTCAAATGAGTTTTCGACTGATGGCTGCAATCTAGTCGGACGGGTCATGTTGACACAGTAACATGCACTTCGAGAATTTAGTTCAATCCGTGACTGGTTCTTTCATTCACTTCTTCCGAAGAGCAACAGCATCCACCATCGTCGTTCGATCTCATTCTTCTTGGAATGGCAGAAAAAGGGAATTCTGAAGAAAAACCTGAAGTTATTTGATTGAACATTCGATTAGACAACGACAAAAATAGCAGGCTTCCTCTACGAACAATTGACCACTGGAGAACAGAAACCAACCTCACATGGAAGGACACAGAATATACCTGACACTTTACAAACAACGATTGCTTTGTCTGTGTTTACACCACGCCCGGTCGACGAAGATGCTAAATAGTATTGCCGCTACACGTACAWCAAAATGGAGGACAAAGCAACACCATGTATCACAGCATCAACATCTGATTATGCAGACTTGCTGCAGCATTGTTAGGCTTGTGGAAAGAGCAGGTAGCATGATATCGCCTCGTGTTTTTGTTTGTTTACAGTATTATCTCTCCAGGAATTTGTTTTCCCTGAGCTCTAGCTGTTGCTGGTTTTGTTCGTACTCCTCCACCAAGTCGTCGATCGTTTGGAACTGGCGCGGCCACTTGGCATTGTACAAAAACGGCCGGAGGTCGAATCGGTTGTCGTCGGGGCTGTATCGTTCTGCGTGGTAGCTCGGAGTCAGCGTGCACATTTTGTGGCGATTGATGGAATAATAAAAGAAGAAACGCTTGACCTTGGCGCCCACCTCTCGAGGTGTAAGAACCGGCGTGTCGCTGGTATTGCCATCGCTATCCACCAACGGTTTCGTCCACTCGTAGACAAGCTTTCGGTACATGCTCACTGGGCCACAGAATTCCAGCTTGCGGAGACGGCCAAACCACCCCAGTTCGTCGTAGGTCATGCCCATTTCCTCTTCGTCCAGCTGAGAATGCTCGGCATCGTTGCTGCTGTCTTCCCCGCTCGGATCGGTGCCCAGGGCATCTGCATCAAGTGCGGTTTTGTTGGGGCGCAGCTCGGCCGTGGGCGGTGCCCCGGCAATCTCCTCGAGAACCGGACCGGACCTGCTTCCATAGGCCTTGGAAGCCCACAGGAGCATGCGCTTGAGATCCCCCTTCGATATCGCACCGATGGGATTCAGATCGGCCGAGGAACAATCGTACTTGGTCATGTAACCCCTGAGTCCCTCATCAACGTTGGCGGATCCGAGAACTAGCAAAAAACCCTTCCCAACGGTGTCCCCGGCGAGCTTTCGGGTCCACGGCAGCAACTGGGCAAAGAGATAGGCCGTCACCATGCGCATGCGGGCCTGGATGTTTTGCAGGGCGAGGTCCTCCGCAAGCGTTCCACCCCTCGCCAAAAAGCGGGGCGTCTGGCCGGTGGCTAGGCAGAAGACCTTCACGATGGCGTCCACCATCAGATCGATGGGAACGGTCAGGTGGTAGCTCCCGATGGCCTCCCCGAGGCGCCTGGCGCGGCTAGTGGTGTTTTGGGAAGAATTGACGGTCCCCATAAAGACGGTGTGCAAGACGTGGGAGGCAATTTCCTGTGGCGAGCCCGGTGTCCAGGTTTCGTCGTCGTCGGGACCGTCCTTTCCGCAGATGCGACGCAGATCCTTCAGCACCTGCTGGTTGGGCTGGGTTTTGCCATCAGGGTCGGTTTGCACTTCGTTGTACACCAGGTGGCACATGGCCATGACAATGGTGGCCACCGCTGAGCTGTCGGCCCCCCCGCTCAGGGGCAATAAGTACCCGGACGCCCCACTCCTCCGCAGGTAGTCCCACAACCAACAGGCCGGGCCCAGGCAGCATTCTTCCTCCGGGATTGGGGATACAAGCGATTCGATTGGCTTGGTTGGGAACCCGGTCAAGTCKGAGAGTTCCAGAACCCGGCAATCGGTGGGAGCATTTAAGACCCTGCCGCGGCTTTCCGGCTGCTGTTTCTGGTGCTGGATCTGGGCCATGACCGATGGCTTCGCCACCCGGAAGGACCGGACCTCCTCCAGATCGACCGTCGCCGTCACTACCACCACGTCCTTGAGGCAAAACTGGGGCGACCTCGCCAGGACCTTTCCGTTGCAGACAATCGTCGCACCCCCGTCGTAGTAGACCCGGCCTCCGTCGCAGCCGCGCTGGTTTGCGTACAGATAGATCCCTCCGCAGCGTGCGGTTGCCGCTACCATCAGCTCTAGGCGCTTGTCGAGCTTGCGGAGCTCGTGGTGGGACCCGCTGCCGTTCCCGATGACCTCGACCCCCGCCAGCGCCAGGTCGACGTGGGACGGATCCGGGACCCAGAGCTCCTCGCAGGTTTCGCAGCCAAAGGCCACCCCATCGTCCGTTCTCAGAAAGCTGGTCGCCCCGCCCAACGGGACCGATGCCGGGTGGTCGTCCCCGAGCTCTCTTCGGACCCACAGAGGCAGGTGTAGCTCCGAGTGTGAATTGGAAGCTGCACTCTCCTTGTATGCCGCAAAGTACCGGGTTTCTCTGTAGTTGCCGTCGTCGGAAAGAATCGTCTTGGGCCGGATCCACAATATGGTTCGGTTGAAGCACACTACCCGACAGTTGTACCGGCATCCGTCGTTCCCCAGAATKGGCATCCCAAAGTCGCAGATCATGTCCAGGGTCGCATCGGTTTGCATGAGCAATCGAATCAGGCTCTGCCAAGAATGGTCAATGGTGTCGGGCTCCAGGAAGTGGTCTTCGCAGCCGTAACCGCAGATCTCCAGCTCGGGACCGAGTCGGTACCTGGCGCCCGAGGCCTTGGCCAACCGGCAGGACTCGAGGATTCGCTCGAGGTTCCCGTCAAAGTCGAGGGCCCACTGGTTCAGGGTGCACGTTGCGACGGTCAACAAACTCGTACCGATTCTAGGAGAACCCATCATTCGTTGTGTGATGAGATGCGATGCGGCGCAATAAGATTGGATTGAATGGTGTGAGATGTATTTTTGTCTGTTGCAACTGGGTTTTCTCTTTCCGGGTTGTGTGAGTACTCGTAGAATGAGGTGTACGATACGAATAGTGATACCGGGAAAGAATCCTACGGTATGGTAGCAGTTTTGATGTTCTCGTTTTGTTCAGAGGGAAGCTCCGTAGAAGTACGAGTCCGAGTACGAGTACTCGTACATACAAGTACTATTGAACGTCGCGTAAAGTAACACAGTACTGTACTGTATGATTTACTAGATGTACCTACTGATTGATCTRGAAGGAATGAAACGTGCGGCGGATGATGATGGAGCCGAAACGAGGAAGGGTGAGAGCTACTACGAAGTACAATTCACGTGCTGGCAAGTCAAAGGCAATTCCCGTGCAAATGCTAGTGGAAAATTTTAGCTAATTTTTACAGATAAACCAGTCAAAAGAAGCATTCAAGGGACAAAAATAAAAATATTTTTCCTTGTTTTATTTCTCGCTGGTCCCAAAATATTATAAAATTTCGATGATTACGAACTGAATTATTTTCATGAGTGTTTACTACGTACTGGACAACCTCTATTACTCATTACTAATTGGGATGTTATAGTAGTGAGGACTGCGAACTGCTGGGCAAAGCTGTTCTGTTGGTGCTGCTCCCTTCTGCGACGAGCAAAACTGTGCTACCTCGAGACTAGGTAAACCGAACGGAAGCGTTTACGCAGTACCATGCCTTGAACAGCTTCTTCGAAATCATGCTCGTCGCAGGACAATTTCTTCTGGTTTTGATCCATCTCTATAGGAGAGGATTATATATGACAGGCCTCCTCCTTCCAGTGACAAAGGTCGTGTGCAGAGAATGTGAATCGACGCAACGAGACGCGGAGAAGATCTGTCACGGCCACCCGGTCGGACCTGCGCAAGCGTTCGTAGTTCCTGGCTCGGTTTCTAGTGTGGCCATGGAATCGGATTCGGCACACCGATGCACGATGGATGCAGCGTTTCCCAAGGCATGCTCGTTCCCCGCATTCTCATTCGTTGCCGAATCTCGCGGGTGGTTTGTGCAATGGTTGCCGTTGCCGTTGCTGTTGCCGTTGCTGCCCCCGCCGTTCTTCCGCGGCCCGGATCTGCCCCAGGAGCAAGGGGTGGTCCCGCAGAGAAGGCTGTGGGCCTTTGGCGGGGCGACCGTCCGGTGCGCAGGAAGAGGCTTCCGCTCCCCGCGCCARCCAGTAGCGCATCCGGTCCGCCTGCTCGGAGGGCGCCAGGTGCCCGGCCCCCGCAACGATGTTGAAGAGCGCCCGGTAGGTAACGAGGTTGGGAGCCAGGGACGAGTCGCCGGCCCTCGGGGTTCCTTCGTGKCGGSCGTCCCCCCGATCCGGCGTCGCTTGGCCCGTTCGCTGCGGTCCCCGGCCGTGCCGCGAGGGGTCCGCCGCCCTCCCGAGGATCTCTTCCATCCACGACTCGGCCCGGGCCAGGGAATCCGGCCGGGAGGACCGGCTGGCAATCGTGCTCAGGAGGCTGTTGTAGCTGACAATGGTGGGGGCCACGTCCAGGGCGATCGCCGGGGCCCCGGAAGACAACGATTCCATCGTCCGCACGAGGGATTCGGCCTTTTGCACGGCCCCCGGGTCCCTCGACCGCGACCAGGCCGCGAGAACCGTGTTGAAGGTCCACAGGTTGGGCTCGGCGGCACCGGAGCCGGCCCCGCCTCGGAAATACGCCTCGCACATTTCCCGGAGCAGGGCCTCCGCCCTGTCGGCCCTCCCCAGGCCGGCCCATCCCCGGACGACGGTGGTGTACGCGACCGCGCTGGGCCTGGCCGGTTCCCCTCCGTCTCCCGCTGCCAGCAGTCCGGGAATCCTCCGGAGCCACGACTCGGCCAGCTCGGCGGAGGCCACGGTCTTGTGGTTGGCCAGGACCCGCAGAAAGATGCCGATGGTGACCATCGTTGGCCGGAGGCTATCTCTGGCTCCGGCCCCGCTTTCGCCGTCGCTCTCCCGGAAGAGGCGCTCGAGGAGGGCCTCGCAAAATCCTGCGCTCTCCTGGTAACGGGACGAACAGGAGGCGGCCCCATCCATGAGAAGGGTGTAGGTTGCGATGTTGGGTTCTAGCAGGGCATTCGGGTCGGGCTTTATGGAATCGCAGCGGGAAGAGTCTGCCGCCCCGGTCCAGTAGTCGAGTTTTTGCAGGAGCTGGGAGGGAAGAAGAATGCCATCCAATGGATCTTGCTGTTGCTGTTGCTGTTGCTGTTGCTGTTGCTGTTGCTGTTGCTGTTCTTGTGCTTGTGCTTGTGCTTGTGGTTGCTCTTGCCGTTGTTTTGAACTGCGTTCGTTCTGGCGTTGGTGGTTGCGTTGGTCACTGTTTCGGCTTGGGTATCGAGCACGGTGGCGTTTTGGGCCGCGTTCCTTGCTGCTCTGGTGCAGGCACTCCTTCCATTGCTTCAAGAAGGCGTGCACCAGAGAGACGTCTATGGTCCGAAAGTCTTCGTCGTCGTCTTCGTCGTCGTCGTTGCGGTTGTTGGCACTGGTGCTGTTGTTGTYGTGGTGGTGGCTGGATGCAACCGCCCGCTTTTCTTCCGCCAGCCGATCCAGTATCTTCAGTGCCGTCTCGTGGCCCCCGACCGCGGCCTCSAAGGGGATCGCTTCGATGCCGCGGATGCCGCGGTGGCCGCCGCCGGTCTTGCCGGTGTTGGCAGCGGCCGGTGGCCTCGACCAGTGCAGCACCAGGGTTTCGGCGAGGTGCCACTGCARCGAATCGAGGCTTCCGACCGGCGTCCTTTCCCGATCCAGGAAGACGGCGGTGGAAGTCTTCCACAGTCCCTCCATGGAGGTGACTGCGGACAGCGGGGTCGGATCCGGGTTCGGGTCCGGGGTCGGCGTTGTTGTTTGTGGTCTCGACGAAAAGGAGGACGGCATCGAAACCGTCGAGTCCGGGAGGGATGCGGCCGCGGAAAGGGATCGGGGGGAAGGAACCAATCTTCTCCGTCCCCACCGGGTGGAATGGCAGCGARCGCTCCCACAAGCCCCAGAGCGACCGAGGCCGCCGATGACGCCGCTGCTGCCGCCGCTCCCGGAGAGGAGCCGTTTCCGCAGCGGCGGGCAGCAGCGGCTCCCACGGACCGCACCGGCCGTCCGCGGCAGCATTCGAGAGACACCGTGCGGCAATTCCCGGGGTTGCTCTTCCGTATACCGGTGCGTTACATGCCCTGTGTGTCCGGGGATTGGATTGGATTGGATCGGATTGGGTCGGTTTGGTTTGGTTCGGTTGTTGACGAAGGTTTCTGTTCTTTTGTTTTGTTTTGATTTTGTTTGTTTTTGTTTGTTTGACGGACAGGACAAACAGTTTTTGGTTCCTCTCGTCGACCCACGAGGAAAGAATACGTTCGTATGGTGCGTACCATGGAACGGTATGTACGGTACTCGTAGCAGGCAGCAGGCGATGATTGGTTGTGGATTTTGGATCGTTTTCACATGTACGTTAAGTTTTACCGCAAGGTAGAGAAGAGTAGTACTTCTACGTTTTACAGCTCCTACCGGTACCAAGTACAGTACCTTCTTATCGTGCGTGACTGGAACCGATATTTTCTGTATGTGCGAAAGAACAAAAGAACAAACGAACGAATGAATTTTGTAGTTTTTGAATTCATCGTGGCAATGCAAGGGATCCCAGCTGCGACGGTACGGTCACGCGCGCGTGCCACTCCCACCGGCGGTGCCAGCGGCGGCCGGCTACGATCATTCTCCCCGTAGAGCACCCACCGTACGTAAGGGGCCTACCGTACCATACGTACCGCACCAAATCCCGCCGCATCGTTGGAACTCGTACTCCGTGTGCGGCGGGAACGACCAACGGAAACAGCCGAGGAGGGAGGCGGACCTCGGAGGGAAGCACGAAACAAAAACAGGTTCGTACCGTACCATACAGTACTGTACCGTACAATACGAGTACCCACCGTATCGTGCCAGTCGTATCGTACTCACACGAGCGCTACATACCGGTGGGAAACCTACGGTATCGAACGGTAGTACGGGAAGCAAAGACGAAACGAAACGAAACGAAACAAGCGATCGTTGTTTCGAAACCCCAAAAAATCCGGCACAACACAATCCATCATCCATCGCTCCCCGGATGCGACGGAGTGTTGTTCGATTCGTTCGTGTCGTTCGCCGCGGGAACAAGACCACAAGGACGCACCAACAAGAACCCCCTCCGGAACCCACCCGCAATTCTCCGGACAACACGCCACTACTAGGGTCCCGCCGCACCGTCCGCCGTCCAAGCTCTTTGGGTCGACTGTTCCGATCGCGAGCGGAACGCCGGGGCAACAAGAACAAGAACACAAACGCAAACCCAACCGCAACCACAAACGCAACCGCAAACCCCATCACCACCACCGAAACCTCATCCACACCAAAGAAAAGCAGGAGCCGGACCAAGAAGCACTGCGCCAGGCTCCGCAATCGACTCCGTCTCCGACCGCGAAAACGCCGAGACGGGCCAGTCGAGCCAGAGGCACCCCAGAGCCGGTGCCAACCACCCGAGCAGCCCGCTCCCTTCCGCACGGCAAGAAAGAAGGCCGGCCCGACCGAAACCGCCGGCGAGACCCCCGCGACAGCGAGACACYCCTCGCCGAAGCGAACAGCGACCCTTCCCCCCACRCCGACCGAGACGGCGACCGGCGAGACCCACGCCCCCCTGGTGGTCATTGTGGGCATGCCCCCGATGGAGGAAGAAGAAGGCGTSCCGTCCAAGGCGATCTGGGATCCCACCCTCGAGTCCTCGTCCGGATCCGTCACGACGTCGTCCTCGATCTCCAGCAACGACGAGAACGGGAGCCTCGGCGAGGAAGCCTTTGCCGATGCCTCCGAGACGGACCTCCGGATGAGGATACTCCAMGGCAGGGGACCAGGACGGGGAGGCTCAAGCCCTTGTTCCGACGAGGAAGACGACAACCGACTCGGTGCCATGCTCATGAGCGGCATCAGCCGGACCCACGGTACCCGCCCCGGCGAGGCCTCGTCGGATGCAAAGGCCGCAGGCAAGGCCAGAAGCACCAACAGCGGTGGCGGCGGCGACAAGAACGACAAGAGCCTCCGATCCACCGTCCCCCTCACGCCCGCCCAGAAGCTCCGGGAAGACCGGAACCACTTCGTCCACTCGTACCTGTCCAGGCTCACCGACAAGCAGCTCAAGACGCAGCTCTGGGATTCCTTCCGGCTGGCACGCGTCGTTACGGGAAAGACCATCAAGGGCCGGAGCGGCAACCGGAAGCCCCTGGGCCGCAATGCGACGCTCCACGCCATCCGGGAGGTGGCCAAGATGAAGCTCCAGATCCTCCGCATGTCGGAGGAGCTCGACGACTACAAGCAGAAGGAGCGCAGGCGCCGGCTCGAAAGGAAGAAGGCGGAGCGAGGGTCGAGCGTCCAGGGGGGCCGGGGGGCCTCGGACTGCTACCGCGAGGGARATTCCCCGCCCTTTTCCCGGGCCAGCATCCAGGGGGGGCGGGAGGCCTCGGACTACGGGGAGGACGATGCCCCGCCGTCGACTCCTCGGTTTGGGGACGGGAAGGAACCCCAAGCCCAGGAGCACGAGGGCAGCCCGGCGACCCCCGAAACCCCCCTGACCCCGGAGGAACAGCGCGCCAGGGACGTTGAACGCCAGCGTGAGATCGACGAGCTCCAGATGGAATTCGACATGGCGAGGGACCAGATTCTCGAGATCGAGAGGCAGCAGCAGCAAAAGAGGGAGGAGAGGGAGTTCCTCGGTGGCCTGGGAGGAGAACACGGGGCTGCCGCAAAGAGCAACCGCTTTCTTCTGTCGCCCTCCTATTCCACCGACGAGGACGACTACTACGGCTACGACTCGGAAGAACTCTTTCCCGTGGCTGACTCCCCGGAGTCGGCGGTGGAAATGCTGCACGCCTTTTCCGGTGCCCGTGCGGCGAAAGGGAGCCCGGCCCCGGCGGCGCAAGAGGCCACCGCCGAGGACCGGAGGAAGCAGGACGCGGACGATAGTAGGATGGAAGAGATCCGGTTGGTCCTGCAAAAGGTGGCGGCCCTCCACGAACAACAACAACAACAACAACAGCAGCAGCAGGAACAAGCACCTCCGACCGAAGCGTCCGCGGTGCACGAGGAAGTCCTTTCCCTCCTGGCGCGACTGGCCACGCCGCCGGTCTCGCCGCGGAAGGCAGGCACGGCCGACGATCCGAGCACGGCCACCAAGACCACCGCCGGRACGCAGGAGTCGCTAATGCCATCGCCATCGTCGCTGCCGGTGCAAACAACGGTGCGTCCGGAGGCCCCGGCGACGCCTCCTGCGGAAAACGACGGTGCGGAAGGCAACGAGGCAGAACACAGCGAGGCACTCGCCGCCGCAGAAGACGACGATGCGAAAGGCAACGAGGCACTCGTCGCCCCAGAAGAAGACGAAACGGAGGTTCTCGTCATCGCCGAATGCGAGGCACGGCTCTCCAAAGCAAGGCAGGAGGAATTTGTATCGAAGGAACACTTCGTAGATCTTAAGGTACAAAAGGAGGTCCTGGTGGAGGACATTGCCAACGCCCGGGCCAACACCACGCCGAACCGGACCGCCCTGCACATTGAACGCCTCGAGGGATACAAAGAGGAGGTAGAGACCCTCCTCGCACAGGAGCGGGAGCGAGCTAGGCAGATTGCCGAGCTCGACGAAGAGCTCGACGGACTCGCCGAGGTCTGCGTCAAGCTCGAGGACCCCGAGCGCGAGTTTCGCCGGAAACACGAGGAGCACCGGCGGACTCTCTCTGACTTTGGGAAGCAGGCACGGTGCCACACGGAGCGCTTCCGGAAGCTCCTGGGGAGCATAGAGCGGGGCATCGAGGAACACCGCGCCAGGGTCCTCGGGGACAGTAGCGATGACGCCGATTCGAATGCCGACCCCAGTCGTGGCGGTGCGGGTTCCAATGAGGATGGCAGTRCAGATGCCGAAACGATCCAGAAACTAGAATTCCTGCTGGCTAAGCAAAACATTGAGCTGTTCAACGCCAAGGCAAAACTGAGGCTGCGAGAGGGACCCGCGGCGAAAGGCTAGTGCAAAGAAGTGAAGTGCATTGTGGTTCGATGCAATGCATGCGATGCAACGCTACGCGGCACATTGCTGCGTATTTCGTCGATGGATATCAAGCAGGATCGTGTCTGCTTGTCCCACGAGACCGATGCCCGAAACGATTCGATTTGGCTCCATTCGATTCCATTCCGTGTTTGCTTGTGAACACTTCAATTGTCGGATCGTTATCGTTCCACGCCTGCGCAGACCCGAAGCAGTCAGTGCCGTAGACAATCTGCGGTGCGGGTCGTAGTTGGATCGAAAGCAGGATCGTGCCTGCTTTCCGTTTTGGTTCGTCCCTGAGCTTCGCCAATCGATAGGAAGCGAGGCGAAAAAAGTCATGTGGACAGACGGATGGATCGGTAGCCGAGCTGGATCGTGCCCGCTTTCGTGCCGATTCAGTTGGACACAATGCAAATACTACCCAATATTAGTCGAATACTAAGATTGCCTCTTGGTTGTTGTCTGTTTCGCGGATTCTTGGGAGGGGTTGTTCGTTCTCTACCTCTGCCCTCGCCACCGAAGGCTTTGGGCAGGGAGCGCGCTGTRTTGTTGGAGTGTGCTGCAGTGCACGCACTGGGACCGACCCACGCGGCTGCATCCACACACCGATGGGCCGTTCCTGCACGGACCTGCTTGCTGTTTCCATTGATTTCCTCGACGACGGAATTTTGCAATCTAGCTACTAGCATGGATTGATCGCATGCTACTGTGGTTCCCCTCTTCTCCTTGATTTAGTCACCGCTTTATATCCACTCATTCTACATTACTTCATAGCAAAGATATCGACGCAACAGATTGCCATCAAGGGATACTTACTTTAGCAGTTAGGAACAAGAAGTGCTGCCATACTGCAGCAGAAKGAGTCTTCGGAACAACCAAAATCTAAAAACCAACAAATGAAAATTCTTTCGAAACTATCAAGCTTCCCAAACACTCCTACTAACGGGAATTTAACGTGTCATTATCTTACTATGGTACAATGATGCCAGTTTCATTTTTTGTTAAGAATCGTCACCGCGTACGTAGAACTTGACTATTGGGCAATGTTTCTTGTTGGAAGTCGTTCTACATTTACTAGTTGCCCCAGACCAGGGTAGATATGAATAGCCTGAAAGTACGTACTGTTCGACGAACATTCTTTGACACTTTATGGACAAAAAAGATATTCTAGAACTTCCACGAATGGTGCATTTTTGTCGAACGACCTTCGTGGAGATATTTTTTCGTCGATCGTTGGTGCTTAACCCTTCACAACGGTTACGGGTTCTATTGCTTCACGGGAGTGATTCCGTACCTCGTTATTGGCACSCGACTCGCAACTTGAGTGAAGTACCAGGTAAATGCTTGTAAGAAAGTTCGTACCGTACGTACAATAGAGGAGATCCCGGGTAGTGGTRCTAAAACTACCATACTAACGTAAAAGAATAAAAAATGGAATGTAAATTTGTGCAGGTTAATAAAAATAATATGCCTAATGGCATAATGGTTCGACTCGTGCACTGACAGTTTTTTTTCTTGGGTTCGATTGATCAACAAAGAACCCAGGAAAATGAAACGCTCGGATCGTTGAATGACAGAATTTTTTCTTCGGTTCGGTTGATCAAAGAAGAAGCCTCCCGAGTGAGAAAATGAGATGATCTTTAACACACGTATTCGAGTACCGTACGATACGGTGAGTGGAAGGACCTCATTGTCCAAGAACATTCCGAAGACTAGTACAACTATTCTTGCTACCAATGGGTGGCTCAATCAAAAATATTACTAAAGAAGTTCTTWAGATGATAAGTCTATTCGGAATGCTGTGGTCTATGAGATCAAATCCATACCAAATCATATAGTGTTTGTAGATCTCTAAGGTAGCACATCAGACCATCTTAGTTTTAGTTACAGAACAAGTTTTCTTCTTGTCTTTTTACCCTTATGAATTTTAATTGCGCAAATACATTTATGTGTTCGTATGATAGTATATTCCCTTGAAGCGATATAAAGTGTCCCCTGTCGCCGATACCAACCACGAACTTATTTCTTGTTAGTACTATCAAGAACGGATGCTTTCTCTGCTATGGCAAGTGTCGGTGCCATCGTTCTCTTCTGTTATGAATTACAAATAAAACAAACATCGCAGTGCGGTACCCAATGGTAGTCGTACCGAAGAATGAAAATAATTACCCATTTCCCTCTTCGGTCAGTGTCTGCTTGCTTTTGTCTATCCCTATTCCCTCTTTTTCTTTGTCATTTTCAGAGGTACTACCGGTTGGACTCCCTCCTCCAGTGATTTCTCTTTTTCTGAGTTCCTGTCTTCGCTTGACCTTGCTACTGGAACTCGATCGGTATTGGTCATGTAGGCAATCGCGGAACAATGCAGTGATTTTGACCCTTGCATCCCGTTCGGTCATTTCCCACCACGTGTCGTCTTCGAACTTAACAAATCCTGTAGTCTGGTAGTTACGAGACGTGACCCAGCGGATGATTTTCGAAATAACGGCAATTTTCTTGCGTCGTTCTCCGTTGGCGTACTCCATTAGACTGTCCATGACAAGACCCTTCAGTTTCAGATTTCCAAAGTTTGTCTTGGGAATGTTTCCTTTCCCCAATACTACGGTGTCAGCTTCGGGTACAAAGTTCTTTGAAAGCCTTTGTTTCTTTTCGGGAAGCTTCCGATCATGTTGCATTGGATCGAAGAAGCCTGAGTTCAATGTAGGACTGCCGTTGCTGCGGTTGGAACCATTGCTGTTCATACTGTTTCCGTAGTACAGCATGTTTTGTGCTTCTCGCTGGCTCGCTAGCAGACGGTGAGAGCTCGAGAGTGCACTGATGGAATCGGTAGCATGCGACTGCTTGTCCCCGAGAAGGATTTCGTTTGGAGGATACAACGACGACACCCGTCCCCCATAGGTTGGCTTCAATCCTGCAGCAGCAGAAAAGTTAGCAGTGGTGTCTAGGTGCCGCTTTTGGAGCTCTTCCCGAAGCGCCGCCTCAGTCATCATTCGTCTCCTCTTGTCCCCAAAGTGGTCAACAGAATGGTGATCTGCATTCATGGAGGATCTTCTAGCAGCGACTTCCATCTCTTCTCGTTTTATCGCCGCAACGTCGAAATCACCCCTGGCTCTTTTCAAATGCCCGAGGTTTGATCCAACGTTATTAGCTGCACCAGACGGTGGTGTAGGATAACCACCTCTTCCGGATGGGATATTTGATCCACCGAAGTTAGAAGATCCTCCATCCATGACTTGCTGGGGAGTAAGATCGTTCTCGGACATCGGATGATTTCGACTTGACGCCATGGCCGATGCAACGTTGCCGCCGTTGTTCGAGCCGGGAAATTGCATTGCCGAAGGGTATCGTTGCAAAGCATCCCTTGCCCCCGCAATGATTGACGGCGGAACTGCGTGGCCGCCACCGAATCCAGGACCACCACGGGGGCCACCGCCCCCCATGTGGTGATGAATATTCGATGACCCACCCATGGACCGGAGATGGGGATTGTTCGATCCGAACCTGTCCTGCAAATCATGAAAGTTTCCCGAAGACGCCGCACCACCCGGATCATCTAGGATCTGTTGCCGCTGTCGCTCGAGCGAATCTAGATCGGCGCGGAGCTTTCTTCGCTCCTCCATAATCTTAGCCAGTTGCGATGCTCTAGACTGCTGTTTCCCGCGCATCATGCTAGTGAAGTCGTCCTTGCTGAAGCCCAGTTGCGATGGAGCTTGTGGTCCACCGTAGTTGTCTTGGCCGCCGCCTGCCAATAGCGAGGGAGGGAGAGATGCGATGAGGTTCGCTCTGCGTTGTTGTTCTTGTTGATCTTGCTGCTCCTGTTGCGACATGTGCTGYTGTTGCGATAGTTGTTGTGCGTTGAACGAACCCTGCATATTTCTACCGTAGCCACCCCCGAAGGGATTGTGCTGGGATTGGCCACCTTGTGAGTGCATCTGGACTGCAGCAGCAGCCGCGAGATTACGGTGTGGATGATTTGGTTGCGGCTGCCCATGCTGTACGTGTTTTCGGAGCTGTTCGACTTGTTTCTTGAGGCCTTCMACTTCTGCAGACAGGCGCTCCCGATAGGGTTCGGCCTGCGACCTGGAGGATTGAGACTTGTTGCTCATCGGTTATGAATTATAAAAGTAATTGGATTGATTGAAGTTGCGTCGTCGACGGTCGGCTTCTCTTGCAAGTTCTGGGCGGAATAGTTGTGATGGGTCAAATAAAAAATAGATGAGATTCAGTGGGTCAAACCGTTAACGAACGCCGTTCGTCCGTGGTAAAGAAGACGATGGGATAACTGTATTTCCCAAGACAATGAGAAATTGTACAAGGCGCAATATTTCTTTTATGCTGATGTATCTTGTTAATGGAAAGTTCTCTCCAACGCTATCTTCAAAGGAAGAGGTCACGTAAGGCAAACAATTCTAGCAGGGAAGAAATAAGCAGCACAAAAAATATCAATAAATGTCACCTGGTCGCATACAGGGGGCGGTAGGAAGTTACGCAACCGTTGATTTTTCAATTCTCCCAATTCGACAACTCACTTCAAGCAGGACAGTAATCCAAGAGGATCTGTGTCGTCTATTGATCTTTGATTGTTTTGTTGGACTTGATCAAGTAATTCTCATCGACAACAATTTTTCTGTCGGAGGGAGTAAAATGACACGATCGATGTTTTGATCCGTCTTGGTATCACCGGTTGGGTTGGATGGTGTGGTTATGTTGTGATTGAAAAATCGAGCATATTAGCACTCTCTCCCAGGCAGATACAATTTTCTTCAGGAATTTTCCGTCCAGTGATTTGGGAGYTTGCCCCGCTCCTAAAAACGTTGAGTGCCATGAACTGGCGCATCGCCAACGCGCTTTGGTACCATTCACCTGCGCCAAAAAACGATTTGGCGCATCCCAACGCAAGTGTTTCACTGCGAATTCGCCAAGAAATTGTTTACGTACAAAGATTGTTCCTACGCTTTCTACAAATTGCGCCTTGCGGCTATTTTACGAGCTCTCAATGGCACGAACCAACTATCGATTGAGTGGAACATTATTGCAACCAGAATCCAACTGAAATTTCATACATGCCTCTACGTGTAATTCAATGCTCGAAAACGAATGCAAAGCAGTTCGCGTACGAGTTACCATTGATCTGTTACGGTGTGATGAACTTTCCTCTCGGTTGGTATGGTCTGACCTTTGTACTGAAAATTATATGTGTCCAACGATAATTACTCACTCAACGGCACCACACGCCACTACAATTAATAGAACTATTAACCTTCATGCCGACTTCAGGTAAGAAACAATCAGCGCATTCGGCGTCACACTTTTCTTGGCATTCAATAGTACCGTATTATTGAATTGAACTTGTGTCCAAAACAAGGATCCACGAGAAATTGAAACTACTACGGTTCGAGAACATTCTCGATCTCAGAATATTCTTAGCATAGATACGTATTTTATTGTCCGATTGAGTATCAACAATAACTGATATTATGGGTACCATATCACAACTTCGTACTGTATACCTCGTTTCTGTCGTCGTTCTTTCGACGTTGCTGTTGCAATCTTCACAAGCGTTCATGCTTGCACCAACAGCAGCATCGACTAGATATTCGACATCGTTCTCCCTTCCAGCTTCCGCCGCAGCAGAAAATGAGGTGGAATCGACCCTGACACCGAAAGACAAAAAGGTCTACCAATTCCTCCAAGAGCTCTCCGAGTCGAATCTTACATTTCGAATCGTCGTAATCGGCAATGGTGCCATTCTGGAATCCACCAACCTCCTAGGACCGACCTTTAAACTCGGACAATCTCCGAAAACCGGCAACCACATCGTCACCTTTGCTGCCGAGGACCAATCTTTTGAATTCCACGTAATGCCGGGCCAGGTGGCTTCGGTTGCCCTTGTCGAAAAAGAAAGCCCCATCGGGAACAAGACAATGAGATTGATGAGATTGCTCAATGCCGATGGAGGTTCGATCTGTTCCCTTATATTGGCGGACGACTCGCAAGCTGCAAGCGATTGGTACGGTGGCATGACCGAAACATACGGATCGGACTTCGAGTTTTGAAAGAACCAAAAACATAAGAAAAAAAGAAACCTCCTGCGAGAGGGACCTTCGTCTTCCATCATACCTAACTAGATCATATCTCCAGAGATAAACATTGACAGAAATAGAGAGACTATATTGATTATAGAAAAAAGCCGATGCGTCTTTAAGATCATACAGCATAATGCTTATCTATTAGAATTTGTGAAGATCTCACATCGTAACAAGAATATTACAAATTAGTTGGGGATGAGCTTGAGTTACAATGTCTACCAAGTTGCCTGAAAGGAAAGTTCCATGTTGTTTGGGGTGCGGTGTACAAGAATCTATTGAAGTGCTTGGCCACTGCTCCAGAAATTGCTTCACGTCCTTCCAAAACTAACCGACGAAGAAAAACGTCAATAGAAATGCCTCCTACTGTAGTCGGAAAGGATGGGTACACATTACTGATGAGATTGATGCTGCTTTGTATTCTGAATGGGTTGAACAGCATCTTATTGCACATGTTTTACGCTTAGTTGTGATCGAATCTATCATTGCAAACCAAAACCTTCGCATTCGATAACGGCTCTGCCTAATCGCTCGGTCAACTTGTCGTAATCATCACCATAATCTGGTATAATCAGCGTATTGAAGCACGTATKGGAGGTCGGTAATTGAGGTGAATCAGGACCCGCTCTGTTGTTCCATCGGTACCAAAACACRTGAAAGATTGCGAAACAAATAGGCAAAAACTTTGGTTGGCCAAAGAATGTTCGATTTCTTTTAAAAAAAAAACACACAATAAATAAGAACTGTGCGACATATATATCTTTTCACGTACCTTTGGATCTTAAACGGCATTTTCCCAAGTCCACCAATGGGTCCTGTCGTAAATGGAAAGGAAATAGGAGAAAAATTGTGATGAGGAAGGCGACTGTGACAAACAGAGATTGTGCAATGCATTCCATGTGTTATAGCATTCGTACCCTTGCTGGACCCGGTACAAAATCTAAGGAATTTTTCTTGCGTGCTAAGCGTTGCCGACTGAACCCATCTCCAGATATTCTTGACCACCGCCGAATCTGGATCGAACCCGCCTTCGTACTCGCAGGATTGTTCGAGAGCCCGAAAATCTAATACGGGCGTCCCGGTAACCAGGAGTTCCAGTTCATCTGCGGTCAGGATATCTAGACTCGAGTCCGCCATGACCTGGTTGAAGCCTCTTTCAAACTCGTTGTACTGCGATGCTATGCTATCGACCAAGAGCCATTTTACATAAAGCATCACGTACTCTTCTTTGTTGTCGGAGGTGACGGCAATGTTGGAGCCTTCGGGTTTCAGTTCTTTCTTTCGCTCTTGCCCGTACTCCATCCAGGAGACTTCGAAGTTGAGACAGAATATGTGTTCCACACCGTCTCCGTCGTAGTCCAAAAGGCTCTGGAGACCCTTGCGAACATCTTTGTCGATCAAGTCTTCAAGACCCAAATCGAGACCAAGCAGTTTGCGATATATCGCGTGGGGGAAGTGAACATCCAGAATCACGCTGTTGTATACCGCTAGACCACAAAGAACCCCCACCAAATAAAATCCGTCGCCATTCCAGCTGCAGTCCGGGTTGAACCAGGTCTCGTTGTGTTCCGAGATGGTCCACATACCCGTGTTGACGTCGAACAATTTTTCGCACAGCAGCTGAAAGAATTCCTTCGTGACGCCACCGGCATCGATGCCGTCTTCTCCCTTGAACACCACCTTAAGGCTTTTTCGCAACTCACCCGTCGAAGCTTTTGCCACTGCATCCAGCGTTTGKGGCAGCAGATATTTCCGGTCGATGGCCAGCACAAAGTAGGGCTTGAACTCGAATTGGCGGGTCCTCTGATCGAAGGACACACCAGCTGCCTGTGCGGCCTGGACCATAGACATTTGGTGCTCTACCTGGAGAAGCTGTTGCTTGACCGTCGGTGCCATCAAAAACGGATGGGCGGCAAGGAAAAAGTTGCTAGATCGTTCCCCGTCGGATGCCGTGTGGTACTTCGCGAGGTCCTCGAACAAGGCCTCCGTAGGCATGTTCTCGAGGCCTGARCAATGGAAATCCTCGGCTCGTGCCAAGCGGGAATCGGATCGCTCGTTGACCGTGTGTAGCCAGAGCAACACGCCAGCTATCATGGGAACTCCGTGCGTGATGTTCTTGACAAGCCTGTGGTTGAGTTGGTGCACCAGTGGCCTGACCAAAAATGGAACAAAGAGCTCTTCGCCGTAGACGGTAGCACTCCACGCCAAAAAGGCCTTGTATCCTTCGAAGGGCAGCCCAAGAATTGTTTCGCACAGCAAGAAGAGCAAATCGCCACGGGCATCGAATACAATTGCCGGCTCATTCTCTTTGTCGTCATCAGCATTGCTTTCACGTATCGTTTCGTCTCGCCAGATCGGGCATTGCAAGTACAAGAGCAAGAAACGAACCGACTCGAAATACATCAGCCGCGAATCCACGGTCGACTTCAATCCCATGAGCATGCCTGTTTCGATGGAAGACGCCATCGCCTGCCGGACCTCGCGCGTCTGGCTGCCGCAGATGAGAGTCTGGTACATACCGTCGATTTCCCTCGGATCCATAAACAGGCTGTTCATAACAGCGGGCGATCGAAAGAGCTCTTCGGTTCGTCGGGCCAAATCCTCCCTCGAGGACCGATGGCTGCTGGGACCGGCACCGTTCTTCTCTTGGATGCTTCCTTCTTCCGCGCGGACGGCCTCCATCAGATCGTTCAAACCGGGCATGGAGGGCATCGTGCATGGCTCTCCAGGGGTCGCTAGATCGCTGCCGGCAACGGCTCTGGAAATCGCAAAGTGCATGGATCCCCCGGAAGCAATGGAGGACACGGGTGGCGAAGATTCCGGTGGGTCCCGGTGCGACAAAAAGGAAACTCTTTGGATCAGATGTTCGCCGTTTCCGATTTGCCAGACGCAACCAGCGTCGTCYAGAGCTACGGAATGGCTCGTCCCGGCTTCCACGCACTCGAACCTTCGCTCCGGATCCGGGTGCTCCACCGGTTGGACCCCGGGGCAGGACCGGGTGCCGCTCGCCAACGATTCGTTGGGGGCAATCCCCAGCTGCCCGCAATCGTTGGACCCGCACACCAGGAGCCTTCCCGATTCCGTCACCAAAACGGTGTGGTTCCTTCCGCAAGCTGCATCGACGACGCGGACGTCGCTGGCGAGACCCAGGACCGGTTCGTTCCCCCCGGCACCRGTGGGGCCCCATCGGTTCCAGTTTTCGAGCGAGGCGGATACCAGAACGAGGGAGGAGGCCGCCTTTGGCGTGAGGGAGCTCCGGGGGACCCCGATTGGAACGGGGGTTGCGAGGGYACGGGGGAATTCCCGTCCGCACTGCCCGGCCTTGTTGGTGCCCCAGGCAAAGGCCGTCCCGTGGGCGGTCCAAACCACGAAATGGCTTGGTCCCGAGGCGATTCCCACGAGGGGAAGCCCCCGGAGGGCGGGGTTTTGCCCGGGCATGGGAAAGACGGGCGGGGATCCGTCGGCTTCGCTGGAGCTTTGCCGCAGGTTGTCGATGCTTTCTCCTCCACACACGTAGACCTCCATGCGGGTGGTCAGCACCAGGGTGTGTTTCTCGCCACACGCCACGCTCGCGGCTCGCTTTGCGAAAGCGGCAACGCCGTTGCGGCCGGCCATGACAAAGGCCTTGGGATAGCAAAAGCCGGTGCTTTTGTCGTTGCTGCTGCTGCCGCATCTGGCCCTTCGGTGTCCGAGCTGGCCGTAGTGGTTGGACCCCCAGGTGAGGACGGTACCGGTTTCGGTGACTACCGCCGTGTGGTGCTTCCCACACGCGACGGTTTGGATCCGGTTCATCCCCAGCCCGGTTTCGAGGTGGGTCGGCCGGGMGATGAAGGGAGCACCGCTGTGTCGAGCCGACGGGTCGACGGCGCCCTCCTTGTTGTTTCCGCAGATCAATAGCCGCCCAGAGGACGTCACGAAAGCGCAATGGTTTTCTGAAGCATCCATGGAAACTATTTTGGAACGACCCAGTCGGGTGGAAGAAGGAACAAGCCTGGGACTCGAAGCGGGGGCACTGTTGCTTTCCGGGATCTCGGCTTCCGTTCCAAAGAATCGATAGCTCGTTTGGCTGCTTTGGCTCTTGGAAGAATCGGGATCCTCCTCCTCGTCGCCGAGCGCACTGCTCGCGTGTTTGAATGACAGAGAACCCCAGACATACAACTCTGGTTTCGAAGCAGCGGCAGTGGCAGTGGCAGTGGCAGTAGCTAGACCAACTTCTGGTTTCTCGTCGTTGTCGCCGTCGGTCGTTTTGGAGTCGTGTCCTTGCCGGTCTTCTTCTTCGTCCGTGTCGTCTTCCGTAGCGGAAGCAAACCGGAGCATGAGGTCCTGCGACAGGACCCTCATCATGCCGCTCCCCCTCCTGTGAATGCTCTTGGTTCCCGGCGCCAGATCGCCGGCGAGGGAGGTCCGTGCCGAGTCCGGCAGGAGGAGCTTCTCCGGATTCGCGCCGACGGAATCGGCGTCCTGCTCGTCGTCGTCGTCGTCGCCGCCAACGTCGTCTCGTTCCACCGRCGGTTCGGTGTCGTATCGCGTGTCCCCCCGGGCCCGCGGGGAGGCCGACGAGGATCTCTCGACGAGCGTCGGGAGGGAAGAACCCTCCGCCAATCGGATCGAGGCCGCCAGGGTGCGGCTGGAAGAAAAGGAAGCATCGGCAAGCAGCATGGCRTTGCGGGCGTCGGGGGCCGACGCGGACGGAGACGGCGAGGAGGAAGGGCGGTCGTCCCGGTTTCCCCGGCGGCTGGCCAGCAAAAACGAGGAAGACCGGCGGTGCATCGATCGGCGATCCCCCGGTGGAGGCGTGGCAGGAGGCACCGCCGTGCTTTCCCGTCCCGGGGATGCTTCCGCGGGATCGGCCCCCTCCCGCGTCACCAGCAGGCCGAGGGGAATCCGGGTGGAATGGGAGCGCTCCGCGGTTTCGAGGCGCCGGGAGAGGGCCCGGATCGACTCCTCGATCGGGGGCGATGGCGACTGCGACGGCGACGGCGACGGCGACTGCGATGGCGATGGCGGGGAAGGCGAATCGCGGGCCTCTCCCGATGCGGYGGAGGCCGTCGTCGAGTGCTGTTCCTGTTCCTGTTCCTGCTGTTGGCTGCCATTGTCATTGTCCCCGCTGCTTTCGTTGCCGGAAACGCTCCCGGTCAGCACTTGGAGACGCCCGCGAATGTTCCCCAGGGCGCTTCCGATGGAGTCAAAGAGGGCCCGCCCGCCATTGGAATGCTGCTGGTTGCTGCCGTAGTTTTCGTTTTCGTCGTCGTCGTCGTTGTTGTTGCCGGTGGTGGTTTCGCCGGGGTTTTCGGAAAAGCTCCTCGTTCCAAACCCCGAAAACAAAATCCCGAGCCGCTGGTTGAGGCCCCGCTCGACCTCTTCGAGATCGTTCCGGAGCGCTGTCAGGGTTTCGTCTTCRTTGCCGTTGTTGCTGCTGCTGCTGCTGCTTTGGTCCGCCATCCTTTCGTCGGTGGTTTCGAAACTTGTASCGTTGCTAGTTTGAGGCTCCGAGCTGTTGGCGTCCGAGATTCGGCGTCGCTKGGGAGAAATTCGTTCTGTTTTCTGTGGCGAACTTTCTTCCCGGGCGTTTTCGCTGTTGCTACTGCTGCTTCTTCTTCGTTTCTTGGAATTCGTCCTTTCGCTGCTGCAGTGATTCTGCGAATCGCAATCTTCGTTGTTGTTGTTGTTGTTGTTGTTGTTGTTGTTACCGTGGTTGTTGCTGTTGTCGTTGCTGCTGCTGGAGGAATCTGCGGCAATCACGCTCGGACCAGACCCCATGTAAATTGAACAATGGTACGTTACGAAACACAAGTCTTCTTGCCGCGATGGAATTCGAAGTGCAACAACAATTCCTAGAGCGATGGTGCATGAGATGTGATGCAATGCGATGCAATGCGTTGGGTGCCGAGGGTGTGCCGAGGGTGTGCCGTGGTGTGACTGATGGTTGATATTGAGGAACGGTAAAGCTACTCGTATCYGGAAAGGACGGGTTCTCGTATCTCTGTCGTCGTTGTCGTCACCATCGTTGAAAAAGACTTTCTCKGTCTGATTGTTCCCTTCGATCCAAAATTTCAAAATATCATCGTAAACTTCTGTGCTACAGGCCGGTCGGTACTTTACCGTATGTACCGAACCGTACTGGAGCGGGGAGGTATCGTAATCTTACAGCACTATATGATACTTACTGTATTAGACTACGGTACCGTGGTATATCATAACCGTTGTGAAATGTGACAAAGTACGGTACCGTACGTACCGCTACGTATGTATGAGCCAGGTTCAGAGTCAGAGTTCTTCTTCTCAGCACGGGCACATCACCCCTGCACATCACTTGGTTCCAAAACCTTACGGTAAGGTTTCCGACTTCCGACCCCCATGTTCTCAATGTACGGTACGGTACTACATACTATGTGCAAACTGTACGTATCCTGGGACGGTTCTGCTCTCGCACCTCTGCTTCGTCGGATCGATGTCGATCGSAAATCATGGATCGGAAAGCAATCAGAATCAGAACCGTATCCATCGACGGTAGAGTACGGGTACCGCAGAGTACGTACTACAGTACGACCGTACCGGTAGCGCTGGTACGCAACAAAATTACGGTTTCGCGGAATGACTTGCCCGGGAAAAAGTGGCGCCCGGAGACAAACGCTGCCGTCCCCATTCGCTCGGAATCGGCCCAAGACAGCAACGCCACGCATTGCCGAAAAGACGACAACAAGCACGGGCAATCTTCTTCATCGCAAAGCATTTCTTGGAGCAACTGCCAGCCATGTCCGGCGTCGACAACTCGGGTGGTTTGAGGAACCGCTTTTCGAGGGAGAACCGGAGCGGTAGGAAGAACGACGACGACGACAACAACAACAGCAGCAGCAGCAGCAGCATTGATGGGAATGGAAACGAAAAGAACGCCTGGGCGGAATCCGAAAGGCCCGCTGCGTCCCCCGGTTTGGGGGCAACGGTCTGCCTGCTGTCGATCCTCCGAACCGTTGCCGTGGTTTTGTTCGTGGCGGGGACCCTCCTCCGGACCTCCTTGCTCCACACGGGGGAGGAATGCTCCATGACGTACTCCATGCGGGTCTTTCTCCCGGTCGAGACAGCATTTKCCCCTTCTTCCCCGGCCTCGGAGCACTACGGCCTCTTCCGGTTCGTCGATCGCCGGGATCCCTACTACCACGACCTGGTGCGGAAACAGAACCGCCGGAGGCTCAACGGGGGACCCCCGGTCCTCGGCAGGGGGGACCACTGCGGCAGCGGCGGCAACACCACTACCGGGGGGGCCCRGAACCACGTCGTGGTCTACGTCCCGGGCCACTGGGGGACCTACGACCAGGCCCGGTCGCTGGGGGCCCACGGAATCGGGCTGACGAGGGCGACGGATCCCTTTCCGGTGGTGGAGGCCGCGAAGCAACGGATCCGGGCGGCGGCGGGAGGAGGAGCCACCGGCGAAAACGACGGCGAAGACGACCATGCAAAAGCCTTTGTCTACCACGTCTACGCCCTGGACTTTGGCGAGCAGGGCGGTGCCCTCCACGGAGGTTTGCTGGACTCCCAGAGCGAGTTTCTGGCGGGCGTCCTCGCGCAGCTCTCGGACGACTGCGGGCTGCGATCGGCCGAAGGGCCGCCACGAGCAGCGAGCACAACCGCAAGCACCGCCRCAAGCACCGCCACAAGCAGCCTCACCGTCGTGGCCCACAGCATGGGAGGGATCGTGGCCAGGAGGGTGTTGGTGGAGCAGCAGCAGCAGCAAAAGCAGAAACAACTACAAAAAGGGTACGATTCGGGCGACGGCTCCGACTTTCGGGTACACCAAATGATCACGCTGGCGACGCCTCACTCGAATCCGCTCTACGCCTTTGACAAATCGGTGGCGGACTATTACCAAAAGTGGCTGCGGTTTCCCCCTCGCCACGGGGAAAGTGAGAACGAAAACGACAACGACAACGAAAGAGCTCCACTCATGGTCTCCATCGTCGGGGGGCTCCGGGACGAAATGATCGAGCCGGCGGCCTGCTACCTCGATGGTCCGAATTCCGAGACGATTTTGGCCACCAAACTTCTTTCCTCCGGACCCCGGCCATCCGATGCCAACCAGGAGACAACGACAGCGGCGACGCCAACGAAAGGCCTGGGCATGGATCACCGTGCGATCGTTTGGTGCCACCAGCTCCTGGAAGAAGTTCGTGAGATTTTGTGGTCTTTCATCGACACCGGAGGGACAGGTAGCCGGGATCGGCTGCACGGGTCCTTGGAACGTTTTTCGGGGGGAAGCAACAACGACCAGCAATCGTCGGTGCGGTTCGCGAGGGATCTGGAAGAACTGAACCAGGACCTGGTGGAATTGTTCGGAAGCCTGGCCTCGGTTTGCATGCAGGCCTCCATGCTCTACAACCTTCCGTACTTGTTGGCCCTGTATGCGGTATTGGTGGTCCTGTCGTGTGCCGTGGCGGCTTTTCCATCTGGATCCGTCGTTTTCGGGACTCCGGCGCTGCCCCCGACCGAGCTGCTTCCCCTGGGGGGCACGGTGGTCCTGGGATGGGTGTTTCGCGGCGGCGATCTGCTGGGTTCGACGACTTTGATCCTGGCCCTGGTGGCCGATTCCGTTCGCCTGCTTCTGGTCCATCTCCTGGGCAAGCTGTGCGGGAGGGATCACAAACCCCGCTCGCGGAATCCCTTTCGGACCCTGGGGCGTGCCCTGCTCTCTACCGTGCTGGCCGTCTCCTTCCTTTCCACCGGGGCCTTCTGCGGTGTCCAGCGGTTCGGGAGCGAGGGCCTTACCGAGTTCCTGGCCTTGTGGGCCCCGCGGGATCTCGTGGCTTTCGTCGTCTATTGTTGCGTCGCGACTTCGATCTGCACCCTATCGCTGGCGGGCATGGGGTGTGCCTGCGACGACCGTGGCGGTGCCTTTGCCTTCGAGGCCCACCTGGTGGCCCTGGTCGTGCTGGTGGTTCCCTTTCTCGCCGCGGGTCCGCTGGCCCTGGCGGCCTGGGAGCGAGGCACGCGGCCGAGCTCCTGGTGGACCCTGCTCTCGCTGCAGGTCCCTGTGGGAGCCCGGGCCCTCCTCCGGGCGGCCTCCTCCGCCGCCCGTGCGGGGAATGGCAAGCCTCGAGACCGGGGTGCTAGGACCACGGGTTCTCCCGGGGGGCGCCCCCGAGCGAATCCGGGGACGCCGAGGGATTTCCGCAACCGGAAGCTCTCGCTGGCACGCTCCGCGGCGCTGGTCCTCGCGGCCTGCTGGATGTGCTGCCGAGAACCCGGATTGCTTTCCCGCGGAACCGGCTACCTCGTTCCGCAAATGGCCGAGGTGTTGGTCTGGGTCGACGCGGTCTATGTCGTTGCTGCTGCCGGGAACGCATCTTAGTCGAAACAACCTTTTTGGGTGCCCGGGTTCCGGGGCTCGGAAAACACACGGAAGAATTTTTGTCGGACACGATTTTTTAACGAACAGATCACTGGAATTGTTGCACCAAATAGATGACGAAGCCGTTGCATTGACGAGCATTGAGTATCTGCTAAAGTACTGGTCTTGCCGTAGCACGTATTACTATCGATAGTGGATCGGATTCGGCACAAGAAATGCCCCGGACCGAAAGCTCAAAGTTGGCTTGTTACGTGTATTMAGTAGTGTCGTCAATAAACGCTAATCTCTTCTGTGTAGGTTTGAAAAGATGTTTTCGCAACCTTAGTACGAGCTTCAGTCTTCGAGTGTGGGTCAGGAAACCAATGTATATGATATAACCTATAATACGGGCTATTGGCAAGAATGGGTACGAGTAGCATCTTCTCACTACGAAGCACTGTTAGTTTGAACGATTCAATGAAGCCTTTTGCTCTTCCAGTGTAAATGTTGAAAGCATTCTTCGCATCTTCCAGCCATCGGAGTCTTCAGGCTGTTTTCTCATAGCGGGATCTATCGCCTCCACTTCAAGCAGAAATCCCATCTTTTTGTCCGCCGCGTTGATTTCTTCGTCAGTGAATCAAAGAAATAATCCAATCCGTTATTTCCCGGATCAGCGTCGTTTTTGCCGTTTTCGTCTCTCAGCGCTACTACTTTTTCTTTTCCTACTTGTGGTTGTCGTAATGGACCTCTTGACACCACTGCTTCTAGTGTGATTGCTGAGTTTTGTTGACGACGAGGAGGATCCTCGAACACGTGTTCTTGAGCTGCGTGCAGAACCATTGGAAGTGCTTCGTTTGGGCGGAGGTTTTGAGCCGGTGGCCTGCAGATTGCAGCCATGCAGTCCCAGAGCGATTCGACCTGTGTCCGTTGCAACCATCAGTATGTCGACACCGACCCGYTGCCCGATCAGCAAGCCTTGCAGCCTGAGGCTCGGACCGAGTTTGGACACGTGAAGCAACCCGTTGTGTTGGTTTCCGAGATCGATGAAGGCACCAAAATCCGCGACGTTGCTTATTGTGCCRATGATACCACGGATCGGTCCTCCGTTTTTAATAATCTCTTCTGCCAATCGCTTCGTGCTGGACCATTCTGCATCTAGGGGCTTACATGATTCGACCAGCCCTATAGAACCTCCAGTCGAAGAATCCTTTCCAGACAAGGCATCATTGTTTTCGAGGATCTTCCATCGAGGATCCTCTTTGGAAATCGAATCTACCAGATTCTTCATGACTGCAAGCACCCGATCCTGGGTGACACCGTGTTTTTTTGCCGCTTTCGCCACCAAGTCCTTCCATTCAGTCTTCCAATGTTCTCGAGGTGGCAGATTGGTGGCGGGATTTTTGTCTCCATGGTCTGACAATTCCCACGAGAATTCCTTCAAAAGCCAACGTGCCAACTCGTAGGATTCTGGGTGCACGAGTGTATCGTCTAGGGCTTCCGGACCGTTGGAAACACGGACAAAACCAGCACAATTTTCGTAGGTTTTGGGGCCCAACCCATCGATCCTGGTGAGCAAATCACTTCGGCGTTGGATTGGTCGGGAGGCAATGATTTTTTTCGAAAGTCTTTCCGACAGTCCGGGGACCTTTTGGAGGATTTCAAGACTTCCCGAATTGACATCGACACCCACAGTAGCCACTGCATCAACGCTCGTGCGTTCGAGCTTTTCATCCAGCTCCTTTTCGCTCAGATCGTGTTGGTACATTCCCAACCCCAATGACCTCGGTGGAACCTTGACCAATTCAAAGAGAGGATTTTGGAGCCGCCGTCCGATTGATGCGGCGGCAATCGCTGATGGTGGATGCTCCGGGAATTCGGCTCTCGCGTTTTCGGTAACACTCCACACACTGGCACCGGCTTCGTTGACCAGTTGAATGTTCACGGAAATCCCACTGTTGGCTGATGCTTCCTCGACCAACTGACGGCAATCGGTACTCCCATGGCCGTTGCCAAGAGCAACTATAACCTCTTTTTTTTCATCATTTATCTGCTCTGCGGTGCCTTTCACGCTTTTCAGCAGAAATTCGAGCTTAGTCACCGCGGAAGCCCGTTGCGGCCCCAAGAACCGAACCGTGTCAAAGTCCACGACGGTTCCGTCCGACGCTAGCAGCGCAGACTTGATGCCGGCAGCGAACCCTGGATCGAGCGCCAGCAGAGGTCGAGGATTCCGGGGATACGGTGGTGCAAGAAGTGCACGCTGTAGGTTGTCCTCGAACACCACACAAGCACGGTCCTGGGCCTCCGCGCACTTATCTCCCCAGAGCCGCGTGGTCGTCCTTCTCCGGAGCAAGCGGTTCCAGGCGTCGTGAACGCCTTCTTCTAACAACGACCTGTGGCGCAGGAGTGCAGCCGGAACAATCCTTGTCTTCGAGGCCGTGACGGTGTTTTCATCTTTCTGGATATTGCTCCTTTTGTTCTTGGTTTCATTTCGAAATCTCCAAAGGAGGTACGATTCCATTTTCCCGGAATCAATCTCGAATGCCATTTTCAGTGCTTTTTCTTTGACTCCTCTTCTAATCGCCAAGACTTGGTGGTCTTTGAGGAATAATAGATTCCCCGAAAATTCCCCGTACGTTACGCTGTATTTAWTGGCCTTGCTGCTGTCATTGCTCACGTGTTTCTTGGCGCTTGATTCTTTAGGATTCGGCTTCTTGGTGTTGCCGTCACCATTCGATTTCTTTTTCACTTCGGTTGTCTTGACGCGGCAATGCTTTCGCAATTCTTCCATCACCCACCAGGCGACCTGGGGTTCAGCAGCTATTTTATTTCCCAACACCTGGACTACTGCCTGCCGTGGTCCCAGCCTGGACCATCGCTTGTCGTCAGGCTCGTCTTTGGCGTTCCAGAGCTCGTCGATTGTCTCGACCAATTTGGGGTGTTCGGACGTGATTCGCTCTAGGATGCTTCCTTTGGCTGGTGGCTTGAAGGGCGCGTACAAATCGTCTAGCTCAGCCCTGGATGTACTGGTCAAGATTCGGTTTCGCATCTCATTGTTGTTGCTGCTGCTGTTGCACGGAAAATGTTCCACGAGCTTGGTTCGAAGTGATTGGAGGGCTTCGTGCTTCGCGACCATCGATTGCAGCTCGTGGACCTGTTGCGTTGCGAGGGGGTGGATCAGATCGGCTCGATAACGRCACACAAAGGGAACCGATGCAGCGGAAGCTCCTCCATTTTGGCTGCCTGTAGTTTGGAAGAGGGGCAGCGTCCGCTGTACAGCTGCTAGGCATGCTCTCCAGTGTTGCGATTGTTCGTGGTCCAGATTGCTCCCACTGCTGTTCRTCTCCAGTTTCAGCAGCCGGGGTGTCCATGCCTTGGCTAACGCTTCTACCGTAGCCGTGTTTTGGCCCATGTCAGTATCAAAGTCACCAGCGGTTGCCGATGTCGATGTCGATGCCTGTCGTTTCGGAACGGAAGCAGGACTATTTTTGTTTGGTACTACTGCTGTTATCGATAGTAATGACGACGATGGTGAGTAGATATTGCTAGGAAGACAGTATCTAATACAGTGATGGGTTGGAGAATACGCCACTCGAGGAAAAGTGTACCTGTTGTTGCTACTGCAGAGGAATCCGGAAAGCCTGCGGTATCGACCGCCGTTGTTCCGTTTGAGGGCAAGAAACCCGGTGACGGAAGTGGGAACCCGTTTGGATGGAATCAAAACTCCTAAGCAAGAATGCCAGTAATAACAGTAGCAAAAACAGAGAAGTGACCTTTTCTTCATGGCCGTGCTACCAGAAGAAGAACGAGGCTGATATCCGTCGATTCCGAAAAGCGTGGGTGTGGTGGTCGGCAGGCGTTGTCTTCTTTGCGCAGTGGGTGTAGTTTGTGATCCTTGAGGCTACGGCTTGTGAATTCAATTAGGTACGAGAGATTGAGTTTCGACGTGTCATATTTCACAACTAGGTTATAGCACGGTCCGGCGATGGACATAACGTCATGCGGTAGTTTGTTACTAATCCTTCATACTTCACAAACAACCGAAGATCTCATCGTGCCGTACCATACGGTATGACTAGACGTGCCGGATTTTTTCGGTGGAGACGAAAGGTGTGGCTTGATTTTGATTTTGATAGACAACAACGTTTTTCCCGCGACTGGATTGCTCACGACTAGACTTATTTCGAACCACGACTACGACGACCACGGTTACGAGCAGGGGTTGCGAGTACGGTACGTAGTACTCGTACTATGTACTTCGTACTAGGTGGTACAGTAGAACGATCCCCCGGAGATAAGAAAATAGAAAATCTCTCTGTTGTGCCCTAATTCACGCTTAGGGTTATAGATTATAGATATTCGTAACGAATGAATAAAGAGCCTCTAAATTACTACCGTACTTCTACTACAGTAAAAAATTGTAATGCTTTTTTCCTTTTTCCGAAGAAAAAACATCATCTTTGTTGAGTGCTGAGCAAAATTTCAGAGGTGGCTGTGTGAAGAAAAATGGTACCAGGAGTACTAACCAAGAACCGCTGTTCGGGTATGATTCGAAGGGAAGAGCGAGAACATGGTCTGCTGTAGCAMAAAAATGACAGTCAACTGGGGCAAGTTTCCAGACAAACCTCGAGAGTAGACTTGGATGGTTCAAAAGCACAAACCACACATTACGACTAGATTACGATTCGAAGAGAAACGTGAGAAAAGACACCAGAAGCAAGACTACTCAAGCAAGGTTCCGGAGAATCCTCAAGATTGGGTTCTATTCCTTTCGTTGTGACGGAATCACACAACACATAATCAGTCGAGTAAGTAAATTGTAGAATGTATGAATACAGTAGCAGCTACTAATCTAATCCGTCTGGATAAATGTTCTTCTGAATAGTATGCATTTTCAAGTTCTGACTATTCCGTTTCACCGTTTTCATCTCGTTCTTAACCCTTCCATTCCTCCAAAGAAAGAAGGGAAACCTTGATCAGTAGCTAACACCACAAAGAAGACGACTGCAATCATGACAAAGGCAACGAGAGTTTTCCATCAACTATTGTTTTGGTGGTTTCTCCTCCTGGATGGGAAGTACCTCTACCATCGCTTTGTTCTTGTGAACGGGCACGCCCGATTGGAATGCCCACCGCCCCTCTCTGGGAAAACGGGCGAGARGGCTGGTCCCTGTGATTCGAGCCTCGATGATGGATCGGTCCCGGCGTACCCGCTCAAAGCCAACGCGCTCAACACAATCACCTGGCTAGAGTCGATTTCCCATCCTGGAGCACCGGTCCGTTTCGCCCTTTCCAAAGAAAACGACATTGGCGGATTTGAGACCTGTCTGCTGCTGGACCACGTCCCGCACGATGCTCTTTCCCGACCCAATTATCGAGACGCGTCGACGTGGCACCGAAGCAGCATTACGCTGTGGATTCCGGATATCTATTGCGAGCGTTGCCATTTGCAGCTCATTTCCGTCATGAGTGACATCCAGCACGGGGTTCCAGCTGATACTAAGTGCATCTACAAGGGTGCGGCGGAGGCCGGCATCACCATTGCGAGACAGAACAGCGACGACAAGGAAGAAATAGAGAGTGACGAGGAAGATATGATCTGTCCCGCAGTCTACCATTCGTGCGCTCCGGTTTCCATCAATGGAAGTATCCCGAGAAACAATATCGACCGGTGCAACACGACGCAATTTGAGGAGCAGCTGGATTGGCCCCTCACGCCGTCCGCCAACGCGGATCTCTACCAACACTCGGTATATTTCAATCGAGGAGACGTCGGCCTCTACACCGAAACAGACGCCACGTTGATTGAAATAGGATATCCCCTGACGGACGTGGTCTGTACCAATGCACTCTACTGTGACCCGGACGTATCCTTTGATCCTCTTTTCAAAGTGCCTGAGAACGCCTTCTACACGTCCCTAGAGGGATCGTGCGCGGCCGTGACAAAAATGCAGGTGGAAGCCTACCAGTCGGGTGGCATTCTTCCCTCTGTTCCGAAGGAAGGTGAAGATGTATCGATGGTCATTGTCAAAAAYGATGACGTGCTCAATGACGGAGGCAATGATGGCGTAGACAATTCTTTTAATACCGATGCTAATGTGAGCAACTCGGCACCAAATGATGGCAACGCCCATCACAACGATTCGGCCTCTGCATCGTTTCTGCTTCTACCATCCATAACTTCTACTGTTGCGCTTGCCCTTCTGATACTAGTTGGTTCAGCTTTTATTTGACAGACTTGCACCGATCAATGGGTTTCCAAGCACATGATGCATACTAGAAGCAAAGTAAATTTGTTGATTTAATAAAATGTTTAGTAGTTGATTCCAAACAGTCAATGCTACTAAATTTTTTATCTAGCTTTGAAGATTTAACTTACAGGGGTCAATGACACCAAAACTGCTTGGGGATGATGGGTTCTTTTTGTATTCATTGGAATGAGATTTGGATGATGTTTGTTTGATGGAAGATAGATATTCAGAACAAATGAGAGGTGCGATGATTTGCTAGATTTTGGGAAAAGGTTACATCAAAACTCAAAAACTTTCTCCAAATCTTTTTCGCCAGGTCGAGCTAGTCATACGTTACGTACGTACGAGTACATAACTCACCGGGCTTCCTTGCAATCATACTCCAATCGATGCATTGTCACGAACAAACCAATGAAATTAGTTCTTGTTCGTGACAGTCATACCGAATGCACGGTGGACGTACCGTACAGTATTGTGGTTTGTGGTACAATAAATACAGAGTTCTGATCGAAGAAAAGTACTGTACGAATACGTTCAAACACTACGAGTACCGTACCTACGGTTCCTCACATGGTGTCTGTTTAGGCTCACWCTGTTGACATCACCGCCATCGGCATCAAAAAGTGGATGACGTCTACTCGTGCGCGAAGACTTCTTTTTCAGTAGCAAAGATTCTGTATTAATGTTCTCGAGCGCATCATTCCGAAACTTTGGATGCCACTCAACAAAGAAATCCACCGCACTAATCTTGCCGCTCAAAGAAAACATGGTTTAACAAAACCATAGAGAAGACTGCGATTGCTGGTTTAGAAACTGATCATGGAATTCGCGGATGGGGACATTGCCAAGCACATATGGGGTTTCTTTCTCCACTTTGACGAAACAGCGCCGGAGGGACCCACAGCGGCAACTAATTCCATCACACCCTTGGTACAAACCGACTGTAAACGACAGAAGCAGGAGTGCTGCGCCCTTATCAGCCCCTCCCGTTCTTCGTCCTCCGGGCTCGACCGCCGTTTGGACTTTCGATCGATTCGTTCTCTAAGAAGCGTCAATAGATTCTTTCGAAACACCTTTGACGAATTCTGCGGGTGGTCACGTTGTGCCCTCGCTATGAAACGGGAGTACTTGTATCTTGAGAGCAGAAAGTCCTTCGAATACAATAAATACAGTTGGAACCTGAGGCAGCAAGGACCTTCTGCTCCAGGGTGGAGCAGCGCAACCGTCACCAACAGTAATGGTGAAGGAGTATGGACGCGAGAAAAACGACTAGAGGCCGCAAGGATGGTAAGCTTAGCAATGGAGCAAAAAAAAGCAGCAGTACTAAGGCGTAACCACATCCTTTGGCTACTAGACCGCGGTCCCTTTACTATCGAAGAGAAGCGTCTGACTTCTACACAGCTCTGCACTGTTTAATAACAATACGAACAAACGAAATCTACCAACAAACAAAAAGCGATCGAGCAAGAATGGTGAATTCCAAAGAGAATGATCAATGCAACCAAAACAATTCATACCAAAAACATAGCATAACCTGCATTAATAACAAATAACTGTTGTGTTCAAGCTCCTGCGTGTATTGACGTCTTCCTTCCGGAGTGAGAAAACTCAGTTTTGGCATATTTGTCTCAGCACCTCAAATATAACGGAAAAGCTGCCATGGTCTTGGTGACTTTCATAATTCTTTTTCTTTTCAAACAAAAAATGAATAATTAATTACCATAAACTATGAATTGCAAAGATTATTTCCCTACTCTATCCAGCACAACTCTACTCCACATGAACATATTTAATCTATAACCAGTATTGTTGTAACTGTTGTTCCTGATGCTGCTGCTCTTGYCCCAATGTCATGAAATCCCAGACTACGCAACGCGATTCAATACAGTAGTGTACCATGCGATGTAATGCAATATATTGCACTAGTGCTATCCCCGAAAGGACGCACTGATCTCATCTGCTATCATATCATACCATCGCATCTTATTTCATCTCATCTCACTGCCGTACCCTCCGTAAGAGTTTTGGGTCCAATGCGCTGCCACCCGCAGCAAGAATGGCCTCCAGAAATTGCTGCTGCTCCATGGCCGACAACAAGTTGTAGTGGTACACCAGTTTGGGGACAGAAATGGTCGTCAACCGGCAAAAGCTATTGTAATGCACCCACGTGTAGAGAGCCATTAGGAACTGGCAATCCAATCGGTCCGTAACGCCGCCGTGTCCCGGAATCAGCGAGTCAAAGTCTTTGATGCCGTAGGCCCGCTTAATAGCCGATGCCAAGAATCCACCGAAGGGTGCCACCAACGAGGCGAACAATCCTAGCCACAGTGCGTGAATCTGGATCGGGTATACGTTTTTGACGACCAACTCGAAATGGTGAAAAGTCTCTTCGTGATCATTGAGATCGCCAATGCTACCGCAGGGGGAAAAAGTCGACGCATCACTATCCGCACCACCATTAGACACACAAACATCAACGATTCCYGGTATGAGCTGAACCAGTGATTTTGGAAGGATATCGAAGACCTGACCGGGAATTATGCTATGTGCCTCGACGAAAATGTGGTGGACGCTGTCGCTGGTGCTGTTGTCGCTCCCGATGCAATCCAGCGTGTCCGGAAACAAATCAAAATCATTGACCGGACAAGTCATCCAGGTGAACTTCGCCAGGAATCGGCTCAGATACCATGCGACGATCATAGTGCATACTCCGCCACCTGCGATGTTGTGTTGAGAGCCGTTGCAAAGCGTGCACGGGGAAGGAATGAAAAGAAAAACTCCGTGAGGCACCAATGCCCTACGCGTAGATAGGATTGCTCTACGCTCCAACAAGCAAATGAATAGTATGCTCACCGATAAACCCTTCCCATGTCTTATTGGGAGAAAACCAGATAAAAGGTCGCTTTATGAACTTGCGTCCCATGGACATCCCACAAAAATAGGCCATAATGTCGTTGACAACGACCAGTAAAAAGGGAAAGGTAAACCAAAAGAGCCCGTTGAAAATGTTATGCATGATATACTTCATCTGACCCACCGTTAGACACAAAACCACAATCGTCCAGCACAGCTGGTTGAGCTGGAACTTGATATGACCGTTTTGCATGGTGGCAATCGTGAGCACAAAGACACCGCTGTAAAGCCCGAAGGCTACAGTGTTGAGGTACTGAGCGTAYGGCACCAAATAATGCAAGTCGGAATTGGATTGGATCACCTCACAGGCAAAATCCCCGTACGTGTAAAAAATAGCCACCGAAAACCAGGCCCACTGGGTTGTCCGAAAGAGCGGGACGGTGTTGTTCTTCACCTGCGCAAAGTACGTGTTGTAACGCACCTTGACCAGTTCGCGAAAGAGAAGGAATTCCGCCAGCGCAACGATCCCACACACGTAAAGGTGTCCAAGAAATATGCAAGAGGAAAAGACGGAAATGAGACCAAAGCCCGACACAACGCGGACCAGAAACTTGGATTTGCGTTTCTCGTCTTTCTGGACCTGGTCTCCCGACATGGCTGAGCGGGGGCCCTTGGGAATGCGATTGCTGCTGCTATTGTTTTCGTTTGCATTATCGTCCTCAATCGTGGATTTCGACAGCAATGAATKTAGCTTTGAGTTTGTAGTTTCAACGGAAGATCTCCGTTGTCGGAGGCCGTTTTCTGCTGTCATGAAAATTACGTCGTATTGGTTGCCTTCGGTTTGATTCGCCTTGGTTTGGCTCGATCCGATAAGTTGAATTCCTATTTAAGTKTATCTCTGTCCTTTTCTTTTGGAACGTAGTGGCACTGATAGGTTATTCTTGAGATGAGAGTGAATCGTGTTCCGCTACCCGTCGGTGTATGTCGTTCTAATGCGTCGTGTTCACCGTACCTGTATGGTCTTTTTTGAACTTCATTTCTTCCCCACTTCGCACCGTTAGCGCTAGTACGTACTCAAGTCATATGCTCGTACCCTCTCACGTCCTTCGACAACAATGATGGTTCAGGTTCACTTTCCGACGATTTTGATTGATTGATTGATTTTGAATCCTGTGAAGCTATCCCAATCACGAGTACGTAAATGAAATTAGAAATTACTACTAGTCTTTTGCGGTGAAAAAATCTGCCATGTGCCCATAAATTAGTTTGACCCCTGCTGCTGGAACCCATGGGCACCCCTTTGAAATCCATAATTCAGGGGTATGACTTTGTGGTCACTATTTTTCCTGAAAAATAACTCATTACCTATTTTTTTAAATAATCCAAAAACAACCCATATTTTGATTGGTGCTGGGTTACTACTAGTACTACTACTACTACTACTACTACTACTACTAACCTCCTACAAGAACAAATAACCCAGCAGGAGCAAGAATCTGTTCTTGCCACCAGTAGAAGTAGTAGGTGTCATTTACTACTACCAGGCACTCAACCAATTTAACAAAATTCTGAATCTTTTAAAATGACCCCTCCAGTCTTATTGAAAGAAAGGCACCTGTGCCCTTGGGTACTACTACTAGTACTAGTAGGAAAACACGCATGAAACTTCTGATACTAGTAGTAGTACTAGTAGTAGTACTAGTAGTAGTACCAGTACTCCTACTACTAGTAGTAGTACTATCACAACTAATGAAACAAGAAACACATAATCTTCAATAGTAGCTACTACTCAGCATCATAGCAGCATCAAAGATTTGTGTATTCCTTCTTCTTGTACTCCTGATATTCAATATTCTTAGTAGACAATAGTTTACTTCTAGTAGTAGTAGTAGTAGTAGTAGTAGTAGTAGTAGTAGTAGTAGTAGAACACTCCACTACTACTACTACTAGTACAAAATAGAAAGTAGCAAAATTATTGCATACTGGATTGCCCAGAAAAGGGCACACCAGGCATTCCTGGAAGGTAAATATGACTCCAGAAGAGAGGTGTGGAAGGGATAGAATGCTCCTGTTGGTACTCCATCATTATCACCAACTCGCTGCTGTGGTCAGTCTTGTTAGAGCACCAATTGGAGACAAATACCCAAGACTTGGAGCACAACATGAGTGGGCAACTGCAAATGGGTTCAAAGTGGAAATCCAGTCTTCTGAAGACTACTACTACTAGCCCCTGCTACAAGGGATTTTCTAGTACCACATTGGACGGACAGCAGATACTTGCGTGAATGATGTCTATGTGTTTACACAAAGGACAGTTCCCCAAGATGAAGGATAGGTTGTGCTTGGAGGAAGCATATGGCAACAGGAGAACCATCCTTGACTTGCTGATCAACTTTTACAACTTCCAGTGTAGTATCATTGGGCGCAACCAGATCTTGACAGTACTATTTGTCTGATCCTCCTCCAAGACCTTGCCTCAAGAACTTCATTTTTTATGTCRTATCCTTTCTCTGACCAAACTTTGCCTCTCAAGTTCCCAGATTGGCTTTCAGACCAATCAAGCAATGGGCTTCCTTTGCAAGCTTTGCATGCTTGGGTATACTAGTTGGACTTCCAGTTGGTGCCTTCTAAGAACATTGAATTTCTTGCACCTGATGGAATTCTTGCTCGTACCACAAGGGAAGACACCTGTGTTCCTTGAAACTACCAAGTCTCAGTCAGTAGGACAAATTGACAACATCAAGTACTTGATGAGGACAATCAAAGTAACAAGCTCATCCTCTGAGACATTAGCAGTACTGGTACTGGTACTACTGGCCTAATGGCCTGATCCATCTACTTTTGCTTGTCCTCCCAAAGAAGCTGCATTTTTGTTTGCCAGTGCCAATGATACAATAGTTGCTGTCATTCTTTCTGCCAATACTATAGGACGTACTTATGCTGTCTCTCCCAAGGCAAGCCTACTCCAGCCATGTCTCTCTTTGTTGTTCAACTGGTAGATATAAATTAGCAGCTAGCTGAGAGAGTCAAATCAGACATTATCCTTYTTCTTGTTGTTGTTACTACTAGAAGTAGTATGGCACTGGTGGTGTTACTAGTAGTACTACTAGTAGATAAATAGAGGACAAGGGAAAATTCTGATTCTATTAAATGTTCAGTCTTAATTTGGTGGATCTTTCTGTTGATTCTTTCAACAGACTCAAAAATTTATTTGTCAGCAGTTGCACCCTAATTTCTCATAGCAGTTTAGAAATAGGATCTGAGGCGCATTCAAAGCAATGTAAAAATCMAATCTAAAAATGTACTTTTGATAGACAGACACCATGGTCAGCAGGGTTTCCCTTAGATTTTCTCCATGATGTTTAAACAAAAAAAAACAAAGAGCATAGCCCAGGCACTATTCTCTTTGTTTTCTCTAGTACTAGTATGCTGTATAAATATCAATAAATCAGAGAGAAACAAGAATAAGAGGCAATATCATGATTATCTTTATTTCTCTTTCTTTGAACAAGAAAAATACCCCCATTAGTTCATCCTGTAAAAACAAAGAAAATATTGCCCAGCAAATTATATTTGCTGTGTTCAACCAAAAAGAAACCACAACAATGGATGATACTAATATTCTCCAGGCAATATTCTCTATGTTTCTCCTCCTTGTTACTATTTAATCAATGGAGAGGCAACATTCTATGAGTTTCTCTTTGTCTAAACAGCATAAAGAAATGAAAGAGAATGTTGCCTGTTAAAAAAAGAAAAACAATTTGCTTTGTTTTTCCTTCTTTTGAGTGTTGTATGGTAAACTAGTAGTATTTTATTTTGAAAAAGTCCTAAGAGAGGGCCTAGTAGTAGAAAAAAGTACATCATCCATATTAACATGAATCACCCATTMAATACCAAAATTACTACTAGTAGGAAGCTCTTGTTAACAGTAGTAGTTGTGCAGCCTATACATAGCGAGTAAACTGCTGATCACTAACTTTGTGAAGAATGAATGCTTTGAGAAATTTTTGTCTGAAGGGATGCATCATGTGCTGAAAATGAAAAGAGAGGAAACAAGAAGGAGGCACCAATACTACTATTTTTTGCCATTTGCAAGAAGTAATTTAGCCATTCCTTTTGAGGATATGGGGATTTTTATAATCAAAATTTTTGACAGACAGACTGAGAGGAAGGCTGGTTCTTTCTTTTGGGACAAATTTGGAATCTTAACTAGTACTAGTAGTAGTAGTACTAGTAGTAGTGGTAGTAGTGGTAGTAGTAGTAGGAGTACTAGTAGTACAGCAGTTCAACAAGATACTAAAGACTACTACTAAAAAGAAGAAGTGCGCACCACCACCAGCAGCAGCAGTGGTACTAGTACTACTACTAGTAGTACACTAGTATTGTAGTAGTACTTAAAGGAACACATATATTTTTTACACTCCCATAGTAGTAGTGGTATCAAAAATATGCATATTCACACTATTTTTATTCATGAGTTCCATCATAAAATTTACTTCTGGAACCAGTTCCATAAGTAAAAAAAATGTTCTAAATGAAATAAATTTTCGGTCTGTCAGTCTATCAAAAGTAGCACATCAATTAACGGGACTGGCCCAACACAGTATTTTCAAAAATTGGTATTTAGTAAAGTCCTGTTTTCTCGTATGTGTTGATTGGAATAGACATTCACGATACGGCTAGAAATGAGCGGCAAACTTTATTGAAAGTCCGACGTCGTCTGAATTTTCATAAATACAAATATACATATAGTTGTTCGTCTGTCCGCGCGATTYCAACGTGTGATTCTTTCCCTCATCTGTTTTCTTTCAGTCGATGTCAACCATTTAAGATTTAGGGATCAATATTTTTCTTGTTTAACGCCCACAAGTTGGCGGACAATGAAAAGGACAACGAGATTCTACGGCAGCTCGTCCGTTCCACACTGGTACAACGAGCGAAAATATTGAATTATTTTTAACTTAATGCCTCGACAACTTTCAAGCACTAGGCCTGATGAATGAGTCTTGCGCTAAATAATACATATATTATGATATGTAGTAGATGCTTTCCACATATAAACTTGTTAAAGTCTCCCTTTTCTTTCGTAAATAATGTCATTATGAGTTGGAATGTTTCTAGCTGCATTTTTTCAGTATACCCTTCCATTRGATTTTGGGAACTTAAGCAATATTGTTCTTCTTGATCCTAGAAGATTTTGGAGTATGTATCAAAAAGTAGAGGTTCAACCAAACGTTCAACGCCAGTAGTTCGACGCCCCGTACGACGTGTACGGAAAGGTTGAACCAATTTATCCTGTGACGCGTTGCTTCAAACACAAGCGGAATTGCACGAGTATTTACTTAAATTTACTTAAAGCATAGAAATTACCGAGTCTGCTTCAACGTTGACGTTTTGTCTCCCAGTCATAGCACTTAGTTTTCTCACGTTTTATATCATACTTTAACGGCAATACATGTTGATTCAAATTCTATCTCACTTGAAATTCAACTCTCGGAAGAATATCCATTGCCATCAGCTCAATTGCAAATACCGTCCGGTTAATAGTGATATTTCCCAGGCGGGATTCCAKCATCTCTACCGCCACCAACCAACTTTTTTGATCCAACCAACTCGGAATCGAAATCAATCGTTCTTCTTCGGTTAAACATACCATGACGGAACAGAGGTACGCGTTGATATGACTGATGCGAAACGAGAAGGAATTTCATACCACATTGCTCGGAATGAAAGGGAACCATTGGCAACAAACGATACCGCCATTTTCTCAGCACTCCTGGGAAAGAAAGAGAGGAAAGGATGGAATTCCCACGATTGAAGTCATCAACAATTTTGTCTGATATTTGTTTTGTCCGCAAATTACGGTAATCTGACTCCCACTCCTTGTTTTCGTTTTCTGATATTTGCCATTCAATTCGATACGAAACGAAACGACAAATAACCGAAACTCCTACGATATCATTATTGAACCTACTGATGAACGCATGGGCTATTCTGCGACGGATGGGCGAACATGACCGCTTCCTTCTGCACTTCAATACACGACTCTCTGACGCGACTCGCTGATGCATCAATGGCGACTTTTATGTTGTGACGGAACATCATCAACAACGGCGAAAACGATAGGATGCCCTCCCTGCTGATGCAGGCGGCTCAATCTGCAGCCGAAGCAGATGGAGTTGTTACTCAACAAGTTACATCAAACGGCAACCATAACACAGGTATCAACAAGACCGCAAAAGTTAAGAACAACGTTAACAAAACTCTCAACGKGGGAACCACCAAGAATGCCCTGGCCATGGCAGCGGCACAAGCCCAGCTGGTGGTACAGCAACGCCAACAGCAACGCCAACAACAAGCACAGCAGCAGCAACAACAACGCAAGGGTTCGAGTTCCAAAAAGAAGGGGCAGCAACTCCGGAGGGGGAAATGGACACCGGAAGAAGAAGCCTACGCCAACCGACTGATACAAGAATTCAAGGCAGGTCTCCTGCCCCTGACAGACGGGACAACGCTTCGAACCTTTCTGAGCAAACTCCTAAACTGCGATCCCATGAGAATATCGAAAAAGTTTGTCGGATCCAATTGCATCGGCAAGCAAGTCTTTCGGCGCAGAACAGCCGACCTGAATCGTCTGACGCCGGAACAAATCCAGAAGTCCCGGGCCGAGCTCAGCGAGCTAGAACGCCGGTTTTTGGAACGGGTCGCGCAGACAAACCGCGTCAAGAACTCGTCCAGCGTGGGTGGTGGTGCGTCCAACAGCAACCACCAAAACTCACACATGCACCACCAGCACCGCCACAACCAACAAATGGTAGCCGGCAGAAACGGGGTGGTCAACCCATCGCACCACAACGCGGTCGTTTCGGCGGCGATCTCCGCCGCGGCGGCTGCAAATGCCGGCCCCCTTCGCGGGATGAACATGAACCGAGCCGGAAACGCCTTCCGAAACGGGGGATCCCTCGGACACCATGCCGTGGCCGCTGCTTCCAATCCACCGTGGATGCAGCCCCCAATAGGCTACAAGCAGGGACTGGGAGAACAAATGGCGCGGGACAACCTGGCAGCCGGGCAAGCCAATAGCCGAACGGCTGCAGCGGGCCGGGCCCTTCTGGAAGGACTCAACGGTGGCCGTGGTGGAAGCAGCAACAAGGGCGGAAACGATTTGCAACCGCTCTCTGCCAATCCTCCCAGCAACAGCGGCATGATGGCTATGGCCGAGCTCCAGCGCCGGGCCAGCATGTCTCGGGGGTTCGGACACCAGTCGGCCCAGAACATTCTCGAGGCCCTTTCCGCAGGCAGCAGCCATTCGTTGACGCAAATGGCCCGGAACGCCAGCAGTGGCTCGTTTGGAGGGCTCATGAAGTCGGGCTTGTCGCGAGATCAGCTCAGCCGATTGCTCCAGGGTGGATCGTCCTCTGCCTCCCTCGCCAACATGAATCTGGAAAACGGGCGCAAGAATTCCTTCGATCAGCTCATGAGCCTCGAGTTTCAGAGCCTACAGTCCATCGACAACCTTGCAAATCTAGTGCAAACGGGGGGAGGTGGCTCGGCAGGCGGCCACGGAGCTCCCTCCAGTGGTATCAAGAACTGGTCGTCCACCCATGCTTCTGGTGGTATGAATGGCAGTGCCGGCCGCCTTGGTTCTGCCGCGAGTCTCGCCCAGCGATTGGCCAGCCAGAACGATTTCCAGTCCATTATGCGAGGCCTCTCAAGCTCGAACAACATGAGCCGGACGGGACTCAACAACGAAGGCGATGGTTACTCGGGCGGCAACACCAACGGTAACACCAGCGGCAGCAACCCATTCGGAAAATCCTCCACTGCAAACCTACAGAGCTTGTTCCAGAGCATGAACAACAATGGTGGAAGCACCAGCATGAGCAGCCTCCTCGGTGGAAACAACGCGAGTGCCGCCTCCCTCGCGAACCTTTTAAGGCAAGACAATTCATCGACGGGGTTGTCGGCACTCCGAAATTCCGACGGCCTCAACGGGCGCAACACCACCAGCGTCGAAGACTTTTTGAGTTTGGTCACGTCGGGGGATATACCCCACCAAGATCCGGCCGTTCTCAACCTTCCGCTGAGCCAGTTGCAACAGCAGCAGCAACTCCAGAAGCTACAGCAGCAACAGCAGCAAAACGACGGCAATCTAAACACTAATGGGCGAATGAACGCGGGTGGGAATGCCTCCGGCAACAACGAGAACGAAAACAGACAGAGAAACAATATAAACGGCGGCAACAATAGCAACAACAACGGGGACAACAGAAGCAATAGAAACAATGCGGCCGCGGTGAATCTCCTGGCGCAGGCCACCGGAAACCCCGCGCTGGCCAACGCACTGACCTCGCGTTCGTTTGGGAGCAACCTCGGAAGTTTTGCCGATTTTTCTCGGAACAATCTCTCGAGCCTGGGCTCCACCGCCGAACTCTTGCAGCAGCTGTCCGACAGCGGTGGCGGGAGCAGCAGTGCCAACCTCAAGCGAAAGCTCCTGGACGTCGACGGTGCCCTGGAGGCCCAGGGCGTGGGCAAGCGGTGATGCATCAAAGCGTCACAAAACTAAGCGAGTGAAGACCCAATCAAGCCTGTTTGATTTCCGTACCTTGCTGCTTGCTTTTGAACGCTTCGTGCATGTTCCTGCTGCTACTGCTGCTACACGACACTTTTTTGGTAACCATTGTAAAATACAAAAGCAACTAGGGGCCAACATTCAATAATGGCACGCTACGACATATTTGTTGCCTTTGTTTCTTTCTTCCTCTGGGTATGCATCCCATCGCATTATATCATATCAAATACACTAACATTTTACTGCATCTCCACATTCATTGGATTGCATAACGTCTAAGCAAGCCTACTCGTTTGTGCGAACTATCGTGCATCAGAACGTCACAACTGCATACATCATACATAACTTTGTCAATAAGTACTGCATATTATTCAAATGAATTCTTCTTATTGATTGCAATACAGTTTATTGTGCTACTAGAATAGTGTAAGAAAATAAAAGAAAATTTATCACCAGAAAAAGATACATCGAAACATCAATAGCTCTCTCTACGGTACTCGTACGTATCGTACCTGTAGGCCGGAATCGATTCATGGATTGTGTTATTTTTTGTATCATGGCGTACCTTAGTAGAGTAGTATCGTACTACAAAGAAACTGCTTCAAAAGTTTACAAATTTTTAAGAATTGGAACTCTCTTGCTACCGTAGCGTGAAGTAGGATACGCTCTGATAGAATTTGGCAAAATCTGGCATCGAGATTGAATCGATCCTCATTCCCCTGCTCCGTTTATTGCATCTGAACGGACRAGACTCTATCTTCTCTCCGCAAGAACATGGCACTGCGGCTTCCGTCTTCATCGGCAGCGGTGGTAAGGCGAAACAAAAACCATCTGAAGAGCAAGDCATCGTCCCTTCCGTCGGAAGACTCTGCATTGTCGAACCATAGCTACAGCCACGGTACTTCTTACAACGACGACATCGAGGCTGCTTCGGAACCGTTGCACCATCGGAATGTTCCCCACCTGAGCAACAACAGTGGTCTCACCACTAGCAGTAGTAAGAACAACAACAACAACAACAACAACAACAACAAAATCAAACACAAAGGATTCCATTTGCAGAACGGGCGGAGCAGGCGGGTCACGGGCAAAAACCCTCGAAGGACCTCCAGGGTTGTTTGCTGCGGAGTCCTGCCTGTGGATCTCCCGGTGGTCGGTGCCTTGGTATTCTTGTTGATCGCCGGAGTGGTCCTCGTGGGTGTGGCAAGAACTACTCTGGACCTACACAAATATAGATCCACATCTACCGACAAAGTTCGAGGCGGCGATGCCCACGATTCCCAGGCCCGTAACCGCTGGCGGAATGAACAGCGGCTGCTGGACGGATCCGATAGGAGTGAGCACGAATCACCATTTGCGCCTGGCCATGCTCACGACAAGAAAAAGCGGAATTCGAAGCGAAAAGAGGGGGAGTGGGCAAAGGATCATCCGCAAGCCGCAGCCTTTTCTGTCTCCCCCGTTCGTTTAGTTCGCAGAGAGAATCACACTGGTGAGACAGTGGACTACGACGTTGTCGTCGCGGGAGCGGGTCCGGCGGGTTTGACCGCGGCTCTCTTTGCAGCTCGTTCTGGCCTGAAAGTCTACGTTCTTGGGTCTCCGGCCACCGGATTGCTATCACAGACCAAGATTCTGGACAACTTTCCGTCCTTTTCCGATTCCGAAGCCAAGAAAGCCGGCAAAAGTTCAGCCGTTAGGTCGGGCCCGGAATGGCTGAAAACAACCCTGGCCCAAGCGAAATCCTGGGGAGCTACTTTTGGGCCTCCAGGATTGCTGGCAACCTCCTTAGAGCGACAAAGGATCGCAACCCAAGAGGACGACCCTGGGAGCGAAACCGACTCTTCGCCCGAGCAGAAGGACGTTTATTTTGCGATTAAAACCGCAGAAGACCACGCAACGATTCGGGCCTGGTCGATGGTGATCGCCTCGGGCGCAACTCCCCGTTCCCTGGGATTGTCGGGAGAGGACAAGCTCTGGGGAGTTTCCCTGCATTCGTGCGCCATTTGTGATGGCCACCTGTACTCATCCGCTGGTAGCGATCACCGCAAAACCGTAGTGGTGGTGGGTGGAGGCGATGCGGCCCTCGATGCAGCCCTACTGCTGGCGCGGTACGACGCCACCGTCATTCTGGTGCACCGTAGAAACGAATTCTCCAGGGTCCACAACCTGGCCAACCTGGAGATCGCCAGGTCGACGCCGAACATACAGATTCTGACACCCTACACAGTCGAACGGTGGATCACCGACGAAACCGAGCCGAGCCGGCTGGTGGGAGTCCGGCTCACCAAATCCGGCGGCAACGGTGAAGCAACAACACGCACGGTAAAGATCGATGGGGCCTTTGTGGCGATCGGTGCAGTTCCGAATACGCAATGGATCAAAGRCACGGGGATCAATCTCGATGGGGAGGGACTGATCCAGACGAATCTCTCCCCGGGCGAGATGCCAATGGTAACAGCCACATCGGTTCCCGGTCTTTTTGCAGCGGGAGAAGTCACCGACAAGATCTATAAACAAGCCATCACGGCGGCGGCGGCGGGTGCCCAGGCCGGTATGGATGCCGAGCGATGGCTGAGGGAACAGCGGGGAATCGTTCTGCGAACTACCGGAACGAAAACCCCCGACCGTAGCCTTCAGAATAAATCGGGCAAGGATCCAGTAAGCGACTTGGAAAGCAACACCGATGGTAGCAACAACCACCCACGAGACGCCGACAACTGCGACTTGACACTGCAGGACTGCATCGAATCGATCGTGAGAAAGTACCCCGTGGTGGTGTTCTCCAAACCATGGTGTCCGTACTGTCGCAAGGCTTTGGAGGCACTGTCGCTCGCAGGTGTGTCGGTGGAAAACAATCAAGGGCAGCTATTGGTCGTTGATCTTTCCAAGCACGCCAACACGCAAGAAATTCAATCGACGCTCCAAGCCATGACCGGCCGCCGTACCGTCCCCAACGTCTTTGTGGGAGGGAAAAGCATCGGGGGTGGAGACGAAACTCATGGCTTTCAACAAAGAGGTRAGCTGGTTCCCATGCTCCAAGAAGCGAATGCACTCCGTATGGATGATTCCAATAAAAACAAGGACAGCAACAACGATAACCAGACGGACGGCAGCAAGAAGTTGTCGGGTGCAACCACCGGGATCCAAACAACAGAAAAGATCGACGAGCAGGGGAAAATACAGAAGGCGAAACCACAACTGTCGCATCAGTACAAGCCTAAAAAAGACCAACAAAAGCATAATGACAGCGACGGCTGGCACTCCTCCAGCAAGACGGAACCCTGCGATCTTGCGCTAGAATCTTGCGTCCGTACCGTTGTCGAGAAATATCCCATTTTACTGTTCTCCCTCTCCTGGTGCCCTGAGTGCGTCCGCTCCCTGGAGTTGCTGGACCGGATCGGCATTTCGAGGGACCAGATCCACATCATCGACCTGGACGATTACAAGCCCATCGCCCGCGACATTCGTGGTCACATGTATGCCATAGCCAAGCGGACGTCGGTCCCCAATCTCTTTGTGGGAGGAGAATTCGTTGGGGGATATTACCAAACGAAGATGCTCCACGAAGCCGGGGGGCTGGTATCGATGTTTCGGGGCGTCGGAGCGCTGCCAGAATAGAAGCGATTGTAYGGTAAGGATAGAATGAACCAAAATGCTGTGACGGTCTACAGAGCTACTTCCACGAGGATTTTAGGTAAGGTGGCTGGGACTAGGGCCACCAGAATGCCTGGGATTAATATTCGTGACGGCAAGGCTTGGAGTCTAAAAATTGAGGGCGTATAGATTTATCATTTTTTTATCATTTATTTCTCTATGAAGTTTTATAATTGTTTGGTGTAGTGTAATTGTATGGTTTTGCGTCGTTGTAAACTGGAAGAGTATTACACAACTTCGTTCGGGTCGAAACTTCACGCAGATTGCCTTGTGTTTTGCGTTTTGTTCTGGAGTGCTTTCGTTGCATCACTTGGAACGCCTTAGAAGCGCATAGGCTCCCACCAAAAAGACGGTCTGAAATATTGCGACGATTCCAAGGTTGAACCAATAGCTGGCAAATACACCATTTATTCCGATACTTTCGTAGACCTCTTCGCCGGGCAGGGGACATTCACCGCCACCGACGGTGATTCCTTTGAAATCTGTCCCATCGTCGCCGTCCTCCTCCCCAGAGGACTCGTAGCAGGGAATTTCTCGGCCACCAAACTCGTTGATGAGCAGGCCCGAATACCCATACCTGGCAAAGGAAACGGTGCTCACCCATTTCAATGCGATGTGCATGTTGCTGATAGGGGCGTAAAAGCCCGCCGAAATAAACATGAACAGGGTAATGGGCGGTGCCAGGATCATGGCGATGGCCATATTTGGATACAAGATGCTCAGAAAGAACCCCATACTCTGTGCACAGCTCAGGGTCAGGTAGTAGCACAGGAGAAATTTCAAAAATGCCACGAACGACGGCCGCAACCCAGCGAGCCAGTAAGTGATGATTCCGTAGAGGAGGGGAAGCAAGATATTGTTGGTCATGTCCGAGGCGGCCTTGGCCAAGAAGAAGGGGAGGACCCGGTACAGTTTCTTGGCGCGCTCTCGCCGCAGAAGGGCCCTTTCTCGATTGAAAACGACGATTGAGGTGTTGACAATTCCCATTCCCTGGGCGATGAGCAGGAAGAAGAGGAGAGAGTTCCTCTCGAATATGTTGGCCGTGTCGTCCGGGAGGCGAAAGTACATAAAGCTCGTAAAGATCACGTAGGTCAGCGTCAACAAGAAGCTTACACGCGTGATTTTTTCGCCGCGTCGCTGCTTCGATATCCGTTTCGTGAGCATGGAAAGCTCTCTCCCAAATGAGGCTTCGTACATGGATTTTTGTTTGTTTTTTCGAARCTGGGCCAGGGAGAAAATCCGGCGGTGAKWTTCGTGGCGGTGATCACCAGAAGGAGTCATCGGTTCTTTCTTGTTGTCGTTGCATTCGGCTTGTTTTGTTGTCTGCTCGAATTTCGAACGGTTGGCTGCCCATCGGTCGGCGAGAGAGACGTATTGTCMATCGTCACTGGCTGTGCTGCTTTTCTTGTTGCCGTCGATGCAGAGTGATTTTTGCCGCCGTTCGTCCGCAATGACAGTGTCCATGATCCAGTCCGCGATCCCCGTTTCGGGCGGCAACGGATCCACAAAGCACTCGAGGTAGGGCCTCACGGTCTTGGGGTTCCCTTCGTACACGACCCGCCCCTTGCTCAAGAGTAGCAGCCGATCCAGCATGTTGAAAATATCGGTCCGTGGCTGGTGGATGACCAACGCGATGGAATGTCCCAGGGACGCCAGGTCCTTTAGCGTCTTGACCAACGAGTGCGCGGTGGTGGCATCCAGTCCCGAGGTGGGTTCGTCGCACACTAGCAGGGACGGCCGAACGACRATTTCTTGGGCCAGGGACACCCGTTTTCTCTCGCCCCCGCTGATCCTGGACGATCCATGACCCGATTCGGTGGCCGATCCAATGGGATTGTTCCGCACGTGCAGCAGCCCCAGCTCGATCATCGTCTCTTCCACCAACTTTCTCACCTCTTGGTCCGAGACACTCGAGGGCGTCTTGAGCCGTGCCGCGAAATAAATGGTTTCCTCCACGGTAAGATTGCTGAGCAAGAGGTCGTCTTGCCAAACCACTCCTACCATTTGTTTGGGGATCCTTCCCTCCTCGTTGTTGACCCTGATGGTTCCGCTGCAAATATCAGACGGATCCTCCACGAGGTTGGCGACCACTGATGCGAGGCTGGTCTTTCCGGACCCCGACGGGCCCATCCATGCCGTGAGCTCAAAAGGATTGATCTGGGTGCTGATTCGGTCTAGCACTACCGTCCGGTCTTCTCGATCTTTTCGGTGTCGAGAGTAGGAAGAGCCAACAGACGAAGATGCAGTAACAGGCATATAAGTTATGTCTTCGAGTGACACCTTGATTTGAGGAATGCTGATATCGGATTGTTTGTTTAGCTCCAAGAAGGATGACCGCCTGCCTGTACCGGTAGCACTCCCATGCGGGGGTGTCGAACTATTCTCCTTGTCGGCCGTGACCGATGATGGGGACGGAATTGATCTTGGCGGCATCCTCCTCGCTTCGTGTTGCTACGAGTAATGATTTTAAAATTATGAAACCCGTGGATTCTTGCTTTTGATCGGGTTCTTAGCTCCTAGTAGTTGTTCGAAGTTGAATGGGCAAACATGTACCATACACCCATCGTTTGAGAACTGTTCGACCCCGGGGGTTTCCAAAATACTTCTACGAAAGAAACGCTGCTGTGCCAATTCCCATGGTGCCACCTTGTACGTACGGTGGTACTACGTAAGTACGCACTTGTAGCAGTGATAATGATGATCATTCTTTGGGGGAATCCAATTCATACCGTAGAATGAATCTAGTGCTACTATGCTGACATACCGGCCTTGCACCTTCAGCACAATCATCATCATCTTTCATTTCTGCCCTCTTCTGACGATGCAAGTATATCCTGTTCATCTTCATTTTCATCTTCTGGCACCACAACAACTTGCCTGACACAGGTTACTTTTATCAGCAATAGCAACAAGAAGAAAGCGCTCACCAGTAGAATCCAATCCAGATGTGAATACAACAAGAAGTGTATGCCAATGCTACTCTGGCACCAGACTTTCTTGACTTGATTGAACAGATCTTTCAAACCATTCAGATTCCATCCATCACTTGCTCCTTCTCTTGGGTGAAAGGCCACCAAGATGACACCACTGATTTTGATCAACTTCCTCTGATAGCTCATCTGAATGACAAAGCTGATGGTTATGCTGGTGCCTTTCAAACTCAGATGACAACACCCAATTTCATCACCCCTGTTTTACCATCATGCCCAGCAGTCCTTCGGATCCAATCCCCATCTGTGACCAGCCAATATAGGAGAGCTCTCATGGACTCCTGTTTGATTCCCTGTTATACCATCCACACTTGGCAGACAGGAACCAGTGGCCAATGCATGCCCTTGCTGATATTGCCTGGAAGTCCCTGAGCATTGCCATCCATTGCCTCTCCAGGAATGTCCTGGTCACCAAATGTTGCAACCGCATCCTGTCAACTGCTATTGTCCTCAAAAAGTAGAACTACCAAACACATGACATGTGTTGTCTTTACCAGATGCCTGAAGACTCTGGGCATCTCTTTTGATGTTCTCGCCCGTTCCAACTCATATGGCAACAACAGACCATTGCCTCTCTATGACAATGGATGTTCACCCTTGGCTTCAGGCCAATTGCCTCTGACACTCTTGCTAGCTGTCTTACAGAATGTCTGGACACTGGCACAGTTTCCCCAGTGAAATATCCTGCATCCCTTCATCCAGTTATTTGTTACCTGAGTGAGATTGGATGGCATCATATATTTGTCAGTCATCCTTCACTTGAGTGGTTTTCTGACCAAGATATTCACTCTAGTAGCTCTCACTCCCCACTTGTGCTGGAGGGCTATGTAGGGAATTCTTTCTTTTTACCTCTTATATCTCCTTATGGGAACAGAGAAATATATATCTTCATGACCACACTCGTCTGTCTCAGAAGCAACCCACAGCTTTGACAACGGGCAGTAATGAAAGTCTGCACTCTGTTCAAACTGAAACCACAGACTTGTCCATCTCATGTCCACTTATTCCCAGATGACACGGAGACATTCATCAATACTGCTTCTACTTCCATGCTCACATATTACCACTGGGTCTATGAAAAGACTATCCTTGCAAGTGTCAGCAAGGCCTCGCTCACATCRACCTCCAACACCCACCCTCTTACTCAGTACTTTCCACCTTTGTCTCTTACTAGTAAACAACCACTGGAGAGTGTCACACAAGATTTGCTGGTCTTTGACTCCTACTCCAAAAAGAAATGTTGCAAACAACCTGCAGTGCCAGGCACTTCTTTGGCTCCTCTTGTCACTCCTCCCTGTTCACTACAAACCAAGTTGACTAAATTCTTTTAAATTCAGCAAAACCAACAACCTCTGGTCGCACTTCCACCACAACTCCTCTGAGGGAAGTCATCTCATCCTATGGTTCTGGCCATATAGTGCCTCTTGATGATTCTGTTGAAGGACAGATGTCCGAATGACTGCCAGCCAATCAAGAATGAGCCAAAACATGACAGAGTTTTCTGAGTTTTCCATATCATCATGATATCACCCAATGGAGGATGATCAATCAAATTGCACAAAGGTGATCTCATTCTTTTCTATTTTATATACTGTAGTAGTCAATAGGCTGATTTCTCTTTCAAACTTCCACAAACCAACATACCATACAATTTCAGCCAAGTCACCATATTTGATTCAACAGATCCAAGAATGAACAAGAACAAACAAGCAGATATAATGTTCATTACTCACTGGGTGCTGGAACCAGCATGTCAATTTTCATCTTTGGAGGAATATAAAAATTCCCAAGGTCCCCCTCCTGGTACTGAAAATTGTGATTGGTTTTGATCAAATCAAATTTGTGATCATCGTGTCATGATCATGATGTTGTTTTGTTCATCACAAATTTTGATCAGAATGCATACAATTACTACTATTAGTCACACATCAACAGTATTCAATAATCATATCTTATGATGATTGTTATAATTGTCGCTAAATTTATCCACTGTTGAGTCCAGGTTGAACTCTCTCTCTCTC